ACCCCATACTCCTGGAGCGTCCCCCACAGGGTGACCCTGGGGACATGGTCATAAGCCTTCTCCAAATCCACAAAACACATGTGGATTGGTTGGGCAAACTTCCATACCCCGTCCATCACCCTTGCAAGGGTATAGAGCTGGTCTACAGTTCCACGGCCAGGACGAAAACCACATTGCTCCTCCTCAATCTGAGATTCAACTATCGATCGGACCCTCCTCTCCATTACCTTGGAGCAGACCTTTCCAGGGAGGCTGAGGAGTGTGATCCCCCTATAGTTGAAACACACCCTCAGGTCACCCTTATTAAAGATGGGGACCACCACCCCCGTCTGTCACTCCACAGGAACTGCCCCCGATGACCACACAATGTTGCAGAGACATGTCAACCACGAGAGCCCTACAACATCCATAGCCTTGAGATACCCAGGGCGAACCTCACCCGCCCCCGGGGCTCCGCCGCTGTGTAGTTGTTTGACTACCTCAGCAACTTCTGCCCCCGAGATTGGACAGTCCATCCCCAGGTCTCCCGGCTCTGGTTCCTCCTCGGAATGCGCGTAGGTGGGATTGAGGAGCTCCTCAAAGTATCCTTTCACCGTCCGACTATAGCCCCAGATGACGTCAGCAGCTCCCCATCCCCACTGTAAACAGTGTGAGCGAGTTGCTGCCTTCCTCTCCTGAGGCCGGACAATTTGCCAGAACCTCTTTGGAGGTGATCGATAGTCTTTCTTTATGGCCTCACCAAACTCCTCCCACGCCCGAGATTTTGCCTCGGCAACTGCCACTGCTGCACCCCGCTTGGCTATCCAGTACCTGTCTGCTGCCTCCGGAGACCCACAGACCAGCCACGCCCTGTAGGCTTCCTTCTTCAGCCTGACGGCTCCCCGAACCTCTGGTGTCCACCAGCAGGTACGGGGGTTGCCACCAAGACTGGCACCGGCCACCTTGCGACCACAGCTAGCAACAGCTGCCTCAACAATCGCAGAGTGGAACAAGGCCCACTCGGAGTCAATATCCTCCACTGCTCTCGGGACGTGGTCAAAGCTCTGCCGGAGGTGGGAGTTGAAGACCGTCTTGACAGGTTCTTCTGCCAGGCGTTCCCAGCAGACCCTCACTATGCGTTTGGGTCTGCCAGGTTTATGTGGCATCTTCCCCTGCCATCTGATCCAACTCACAACCAGGTGGTGATCAGTTGACAGCTCCACTCCTCTCTTCACTCGGGTGTCCAAAACATATGGCTGCAGGTCAGATGATATGACTACAAAGTCTATCATCGACCTGCGACCTAGGCTGCCCTGGTACCAAGTGTACCGATGGGCATCCTTATGTTCGAACATGGTGTTCGTTATGGCCAAACTGCAGCTTGCACAGAAGTCCAATAACGAAACACCACTCGAGTTCAGATCAGGCGGGCCGTTCCCCGTTGACCTCCAGGTCAAGCTGTCATTGCCCACGTGAGCATTGAAGTCCCCCAGCAGGACAATGGAGTCCCCTGATGGAGCAATATCTAGCACTCGTCCCAGGGACTCCAAAAAGGGTGGGTACTCTGAACTGATATTTAGCCCATAAGCACAAACAACAGTCAGGACCCGTTCCCCGACCCGAAGGTGCAGAGAAGCTACCCTCTCGTCCCCCGGGGTAAACCCCAACACACAGGCAGAGAGTCTTGGGGCTTACAAAAAGCCAACCCCAGCCCTCCGCCTCTAACCCGGAGCAACTCCAGCAAAGGAGAGTGTCCACCCCCTCTCAAGGACTTGGGTTCCAGAGCCAATGCTATGTGTTGAGGTGAGTCCGACTATATCTAGCTGGTACCGCTCAACCTCTGCCACAAGCTCCTGCTCCTTCCCCGCCAACGAGGTGACGTTCCATGTCCCAAAAACCAGTTTCCTTGTCCGGGGATCGAATCGCCAAGGCTCCCGCCTCGGTCTGCCACCCAATCCACACTGCACCGGACCCTTCATGTTCCTCCTGCAGGGTGGTGGGTCTACAGTTGGATGAGCCCATGTATCCGGTTCAGGCTGGGCCCGGCCGGGCCCCATGGGCAAAAGGCTGGCCACCAGGCGCTCGCTCACAGGCCCCAACCCCAGGCCTGGCTCCAGCGTGGGACCCCGGTAACCCTCCGGGCTTGGTACTTTGACTCTTTGTATTTACATCCATGAAAGATCCTCTGAACTGTTCTGTCTCACCCTTCACCTAAATCCAATTTTTTCATGCGAGACCCTACCAGGGGCACAAAGTGCCCCAGACAACATCTCCGAGGATCATTAGGGCACTCAAACTCCTTCACCACAATAAGGTGACGGTTCAAGGAGGAGTACCAACTACATAACTACTAAAACTCAATCTACTTCAATTATCTGTGTTCAACAAGATTATATCAACAAGCTAAACAGGTAGCATCAGCAACTAGCTAACAGCACAGACTGTCATGGTCTGAGGTAATGATTTAACCCAAGACATGCAGAATCAACACACTGGAGCAGGATGTGAAAAAATAAAGATTTATTTGGTAACTAGAACTTAGGGTGCACTGGAAATCCAGTGAATGGGTAAACGGGAGCAGCGTCTGAGGGAAGGGAAACAGAGGTGAGTCCTTGATTGAAACTGTAGTGTGGTAGAGGATGAGTTTGGTAGGAGGACTTACAGCTGTAGCGTGGTGGAGGATCTCCAGGGAGGGGTGAGCTGGGAGAGTGAATGAGTATTCCGGGGTGATGAAGATCGGCAAGGTTTTACAACCGGAGGGAAGGAGAGAGAGAGCCTGTAGTGCTGGGAGCAGTTAGTGTCGTGAGGAGGACGGGAACCGGGAGTGAAGTCCAGACGTAGTATGGTCGAGTAGTAAATCCAAAAGGTCTCAGCGAGGAGGTGGTGTATGGAAAGATGACTGAGCCTGAGACAAAACGAGAACAAAATCTGAGCAAAAGATCGCTAGCAAAAAACACGTTTCTAAAGTTCAAGGCTAAGGTTTCAAAGTTCAAAGTCTAAGTTCCGACAGCTCAAAGTCAAGGTTTCAAAATCGAGTTAACACTGTGGCTGGGACTCTACCAGTAGGCGTAATCATCCGGCGGCTTAGCAGTGTCCTCCGTCCTCCTTATGAAGGCCACCCACTGATCAGCTGATCGATTGCAGCTGCTGCTCTCTCTCCTGAAAACAGAACTCACAAGCCAGGTGATGTCATGGTGTGTGTGGAGTGCTCACCTCCCAGCTCACAACACAGACTGTATAAACCAGAACGTAAAATTAGCTACATTTACTCTCTGAACTGCGATGGACTGGAAACCCATCCTCGGTGTACCCCGCCTGCTGGAGACGGGCACAGGACCCCCTCTGTGGATGAGCGGGTCCAGAAATGGATGGATGGATGTTTTCTGTAAGAAATGGCCACCTGTGAGCTATAAACTTGTTAATTTAAAAGGCTTAATGTGACAAATGACCCGCATTTGAATAGCACCTTTCAGAGTCAGAGAACTCTAAAGTGCCTTACACTAGTGTGTCATTCATCCATTCACACTGGTGGTGATGAGCTGCATTGATTCATCACCAGCAGGGAATGTGGGTTAAACACCTTTCTCAGTGGCCTAGTGGTAGAGTGTCCGCCCTGAGACTGAGAGATCAGGGGTTCGATTCATGGTCGGGTCATACCAAAGACTTTGGAAAAATGGGACCCAATGCCTCCCTGCTTGACACTCAGCATTAATGGGTTGGATTGGGGGGTTAAACCACCAAATAGTTCCCGAGCGCGGCTGTGTCTGCAGCTCACCGCTCCCCCAGGGGATGGGTCAAATGCGGAGAACAAATTTCGCACACACACCTGTGACAACTAATGGGACTTTAACTTTAACATCTTGCCCAAGGGCACAATAGCAACACTCCCCACAGGAAGCCAGGATCTATCACACAACCCTCCGACTGCTGGACAACCCTCTTTGCTTCCTCAGCTACTGCTGTCCCTGCTGTTGTAAATATAAACATAGAATTTAAGTACATGAAAATAAGTTGTTTTTCCACATTTTATCTGTATGTTTTACTCATAATTACCTAATTAACATTGTTAGAATTTTACACAGCAAACTGTGATTACAGGCAGCATCAATTTAGCCTCAGAAAAATTAAATCTGCTTTAAAATTACTTTTGTTTTGTTTTTCTGTTTTTCTTTCTACACCAAACCCCTACCCTAACCCTACCTTCACCCAAACTAAACGTTCATTCACACCAAACCTCTAAAACCAAGTATCAGACTGTTTTGCATTGTGTGGACCAGCCACATGTCCCTACAATGTGGAAATGTCCACACACTACAGGCTAAAGTCAAAATGTGTCCATTTAATTAAAGACAAGTGCACACACACACACACACACACACACACACACACACACACACTGAAATAAAGGACATTTACTCCCAGAAATTTTAAATCTGCAGCCCTGGTTTCATCACACTTGTCTGAAAATAATGCTGAAAAGAAACAATGTTCGGTTCAACAAAGAGCAAAACTAGTAAAAATATAAAAATGCACACCTGCAATTACTTCTAAAAAGCTCTCCGATGTAGAAAAGGTTGCCTTTGGAACAATAATACACTTTTTAGGTGAATGTTGGTATCGCGAGAAACATGCAAAATCTCGCGATACCACAATTAATTACATTTTGGATGCTGCAATCAAGCTGACATCACAACAAACCGGAAAAGAGGAAATGGATGTAGTTCAAGCAAGATGCGTTTGCTGATTGTTGCTGACTAGTATCTCTGCCTGCATGGTACATGGTCGTGATGCCTTTAAAACGTTTTCGTGTTCAAACAAACAAACAGGCTGAGTGCAGTTTTCAATATTGCACAGTTTAGTGATGTACACAAATATTGCTACACATTTTCTGTTAGACATATTTAAATTGGGTTTTAAGTATGCATTTGGTAACAATGGTCTGAACTTTACATGCATTCCCAAAAAACACATTTCCGTTGTTAAAGTGTTTTAATTTGAAAGAACCGGATGTCTGTCATGTTTTCCGGGTGCTAGCTTGACGGCTACATGACAGCGTCGGCTTCTCGTCTGCCTCAGCTGAAGAGCAAACCGACGCAGCTGGGTTTGCAATAATTACCATCCTTGAAGCGAAAATACTGGACTTCACCATCACTTTAAATTCGAGAATAACATTTTGCAGAGCTAAATTTATCCGTTGAAGCCCGTGAAATAACTGTCAATTTGTCGTAACCTCCGTAAATGCGCTAAAGGCACAGAAGCCTAAAAAACACAACATCAAACCCGGCAAACAAAGAGGTTATTTTTTCAACGCCACCATTTTTCCTCCATATTCAATAGTTATGAGTCATGTGGCGGTCGAAAATGCCCACGGTCTAGAGCAGCAGGTAAGTGACGTCGTTTTTTTTGTGTGTGTCAAAAATGTTTAATGCAAAGTGGGACAACAGAAGGGATAAGCATTAGCTTGCCGGTTAGCCAAAAGCCATTAGCGATGTGCTATCTTGCTATGTAGCATGGGTGCGCTTCAATTGAATACTCGCACGTAGCGCCGCGCGGATACTAGATGAATATTTGATGTTCTCTGCTGCTTTGGGGTACAAGAGTGTAAGTAATATTTGCATGCCTCTTCAAAATTATGCTCATTTTTTTTAAATAATTGAGGTAGTTCGTATTGAAAACGAGAAGTGTTTTTTTTTAAGAAAATTTATTTAGGAATTACACCGGAATTGTGACATCGGCGCTCACGAGTGAGCAAATGTAACGCACCCTAGAACAATTATGTTCACTGCGTTTTTCCCTTCAGCCCTAAACAATGATAAAATGGAAGGATGGAGTTGGTGGACGTGAAAAACGGACGAAACGGGGTTTATAGATGAGATCACCGGGTTTGAACCTTTATGCTGTAATTATGGTCTTTAAGGTCTTCAGCCGCGTTTAAAAGACATTTTCTCCTGCGTCACCAGTAACGTAGCCGTCTGGTCAGGCAGTTGATACAGGCAGAAAAGTACTGCGTGTTCTTCAGTGATATTCTGATTAAATCAAACGGCCAAAATGTTCGTGCAAAAATTATGCACGCTAATAAAACCTGTCGGGGTGCAAAATAAATACAAACCAGCGATAAGATTTTATCAAAAGGAAAATCGGATCCTTTTCTCTGCGGTGCATTTTTAAAGGAAACAACAATGTTTTTATCAAGTATATAAACTGTTCCTCTGCAGCAGTGAGCCAGACCTTCCAGCATCAGTGTGGTCTCATTAATCCTGATTAACGGTGACTGTGTGCATCCATCTGGCCTCACCATTAAAGGATGTCTGCATGTTTTGTCTCCAGCAGCGTGCTCAGACCAGAGCTTAAAGTTGGAAATAATTGTTGGAGTTGCATTTTAAAAATTGAGTTCATTTATGTTGCTTGAGGATTTTTTGCATGCATTCTGCAGCCCTTTAAATTGAAATGAAAGTAAATATTCAGTTACAAGGCGGAGAAAGTCAGGTGTGTCAAATTTTAGACCGTGCGTTTGGGTTCAGCGTTTGTTTTTGGGTTGCTGGATAAATAATGTATGTTTTTGTTTGCCCAGCTCGCTGTCCTAGACCTGAGTGCTCCGGATGGACAAGGAGGTACGAACAGTAAGCCTGTTTACGCCGGCATTGTTTTCCTTTGAAATGTTCCCATGGGGTAAAACGGTGGTCCCAACTCCCTTCCCCAAGGGCCGGTAAACACACATCACCTGTTCTTCAGCACATTTCCCCTTCTTTCCACTGCACGTGAAATTGTCGCTACACGTACTACGCAGCATTTAGCCGCCGTTATATTTCCTCTCCACTGGCAGCCAAGTGTAGTGTTTTGGATGCGCCCCAGAAGTGAGGGGATGCTATCATTACGTTTGGAGTCCATTTTTTCCTGCTACGCATCCAAAACACATCAAACTTCACAGTTTAGATCATGCCAGACAGTAAGTCAAACAAAAAAGCAGTGTGAAACAATCGGAAACTTTCAAAATAAGTCACATGTGGGTATTTCCTGTAAAACCCACGTAGCTGATGTAAACAACAGGAAATAAACCAGACCTTTTGATGCAGGCGGCGGTCTTTCTCCTTGCGTATTATCTGTGGACTTCTGAAATCACATGTGGTGTTGCAATTCTCCCGTGATTCTCACGGGATCAGCTGTGTGGAACGCTTTTGCTCTCGTTAGGTAGCAGAATTGGTCCTGGTTAGAGCTGAGGAAAATAATCAATCGATGCATCGGGATGCTGACATAAACGATTCTGCATCGTAGAAGAGTACGCCATAATCGATTATAGTGGAATGTAGTGTTTTTTTTAAGGCGGCACCAGCGCAGCATCCATACCTGTCAGAGTGAGTGTCCTCCACATTTACCAAGTATCATTCCGCCTTAATGTGGTACTGCAGGGCTGAGCGCTTGAGTTGTAATCTGAGACCAAACCAGACCCGAATCAGCCAGACCGGTTCAGTTTGATTTGGGCTGTGAATTATGTTAATTGAGTGGGTTGTCATGCGGCTCGCTCGCACAGCAACGGAGAGAGCGAGAGAGAGAGAGACGCTGCTCCAAACATGTATTATTTTCATAATTTGATTGTTTCTCCTGGAAGCGCTCAGTCAGACCGAGTGCTGTGATGTCGGGAGATCCGGTCTTGGGGAGGGGGCGGGGTCAGTGATGGCGGTTGCACTGTAATCGTCTGTATTTAGGGACAAGGAGAAGTTAAAAGAAGAGAGAAATAGAAGATAGAAGTTCTTGTTCCATTTTGTTTCATGATGATAAACTGATGTTAAATTCAGCTTAAAGAGAAACTGGGAGGAAGCTTTGGTTCATTTTAGGTTACAGGAGGTCTTGTCTCCTATCTGCTCCTCCAGAGACAGCATGGACATGAGGGTCACATGGTGAGGTTCCCACAGGACAGGTTAGTGGAAAGGTTTGTAGTTAGCTGGTTAGTGAATGAGATCCATCAGCTGGGTAATTAAATAATATTCCAGCCCACAGCCTTCTGCTGGTGTTATTATATTTTATTATTTTCTGCATCAAACAGAACTTGATTCATTCTCCAACATCTCAGAAATGAACCACTGGGTTCAAATAAAATAACAAACTTAAGTCAAACATTTCATTTGGTGTTATTTCTGACACCCTTCAACTGTGGCATAAATATTTGACTCTAGCGCTTCTCAGATACATTAAACACTCATACATGAACTCATTAAGTATTTTATTATTACATTATGTGTCCTGTAGGTTTTCAGTACTTTTTTAGATTTTGTGAGTTTTTGCAAAGCGTGTTTTTCTCAGCCTGAGGCGTGGTGTTGAACGAGGAAACAGACTGTTTTACTTTGTTAAATCTTAAAAGTTTAAAATGTTTTGTCCTAACCTGTTGTGAGTGGAGAGCTTTTGAGGGATGGCAGGTTGTGTCAATTACGTTTTTGATTAAAAATAAAAAGCAATTTAAAAAATTTATATTCTATTTATAGATGAAAACAAATCAATATGTAATAATCGTGATGCATCAGGATATCGAATTGAATCGTTGACCCAGTAATCAAATCGGGAGAAAAGTGAAGATTCACACCTCTAGTCCTGGTTGGGAATGAGCCCATGGGTAAAACATCATGATTACGTTGCGCGCCTGGTTTCACGCCCGAGGGAAAGTAGGGGTCAGGCTCTCCAGAAGCCTGCTAATCACCTGCTGAATAAAATCAGGTGTGCTAAAGCAGAGGATCGGCGAAACATGCTGGATATCGGCCCTCGGGGACGGGAGTTGGCATCACTGATCCACAGAGTTAACATGTCATAAAATATGATATTTTTAATTGGAAATTAACAGAGGAACATTTTTATTATTCATTATTAGATGCAAACGGATTTGGAATCACCTGAAAAAGCATTTCATGTAAAGTAATTGCTTCTGTGTATTTGGTTTCAGTTCATTTAAAATGCATACATTTGTATCAGTTGGCCACGCCCCCTTTTGGGTGCAATCAAAAGGTGTAAATCAGCTGATGTCCCAGATTTAAAACTACATTTTCTTACTGATCCAAACATGTGCAGATACTGATTAAGCCGTCATGAAATATGATCGTTTGCTTGCTTTCTGTGGCCAATTAGCTACGTTAAGAAACTTTATCGAGGAAAAACGTGGCGTGTGTGATAAACGCTTTCTCCAGTGGGCCGTGTGAGCCGTCAGGTCACCGGGTGGAGAAAAGGTTTAATTCATATCGCACATTTTCTTCTTGGCTGCTGTGATCATTTACCATGACTGGTTGAGTTATTTGGGCTCAGCGTTTTGTTAGTAAACACCTGTCTTTACCCAAGAGGGGCGGGGCTATTGCTCTTATCTAGTTTCAGATATGATCTCAGGTTATAATCAATAATTGCACTAATAATTCTGATATAACAGCATTAATGCAGGGCTTTGTCATCACAGGACGATATATTCCTCCACATTTACGGAACAAAGATGCATCCAAGAATGGTGAGTGTGTGGGTCCAGGTACCATCAGTCAGTGGAATAGATGTTGCTGCTGATGATGTCAGACTAACAACAACCTGTTGCTCTGCAGTAGGAAATGCGTTTGCTGCTGGACGACAGGGGGCATACACCATTGCACCTGCAGCCAACTGTAAGTGACTCTCGGTGCAGGAGTTTCTGCTCAGGAGTTAAAAACGTCAGTTCCAGGAGAGACAATGACAGATTTTACCCACTGTGACCTCGCCTTTATTATAAACACTTAATCCAACTTCCAGGAGAATAATTTATTTTTGAAAAACAGACGACAGGTGGCAGAGATTGTTTTTGGGATAAAAATAATAATCATTCAATTCAAAAATACTTTATTAATCCCAGAGGGAAATTGATTGATTGATCATGTTTTGGGCTCATCATTCAAATCCCAACAACTAAATTAGATTTTTCCCTTTTAGCTGAAAACACACCAGGAATGATGAGATGCAGGTTTTCAAAATAAGAGCATCAGCTAATGCCTACAGAAAGCTGCACCCTGCAGAGCGCACTAGATGGTTCTTATGGCCTACGCAGGTTTCCATCACTAAGCTTCTGCTCAAGCAGAGCCTCCAGAGGTCACTGCTTTCTGTCAGCAGGGGGCAGAGTCGAGTCGTTTAGTGGTGATTAAAATCCAGCTGTAGCTTTATGGTTTAACGAGGTAATTACTGTAATAAAACATTTAACACGCAAAACAAGAATCAAAGCTGTAGAATGATCCTTTGGTGGTTGATAATCCAGCAGATGCAGGGATTAACACCTCCTGGTTTCTCCTCAGATGGATGGGATGCAACCCGTAACAACTTTGTGAACGGCTACCATGACAACCGCATGGCTGGGAACTCCTTCAACCGCGGCCCGCCTCGAATGGAGCGGGGACGTGGGGGAGTCGGAGGAGGCGGTTACCGCGGCAACAGGGGTGGTGTCTTCAACCCCATCAACCCAGCACAGCCTATGGGTTTTGGTGGGTACGACAATAAAGGTGGGGTTGGCTTTGGACCGAGCTCCTAAACCAAACCGAAGCTTCATCCATGTTTCAGCTGAAAGGCCCGGCCGTAGCGCTGCTCCACATCCTAACGATGAATGCTCTCTGTCTCCGGTTAGACACAGGAGGCTGGAACGCTGCCAAGGACGCTTACAGCAGCTTTGGCAACAGCAGAGGGAAGTCTGCCTTCTTCAACAACAGAGACAACTCCAGCAGAGGAAGGTGGGTCAGGGAGGCTGAGAGTAGGTCTAGAGCATCAGCCGTCGAGCTTGTTTCAGCTGTGCTTCTGTTCACGGCTCGCAGGTTTGACCAAGCTGGATTCGGTGGCAACGGGGGAGGGAACAGCCGCTGGGTGGAGGAGGCCAGAGACGACGGAGACTGGTCCAAACTGCTTCCTCGGAACGAGCGCCTTGAACAGTGAGTCTGTTAACCTCACAGCTCCTGCGTGTCAGGAGACCAGGGGTGGAGGTGGAGTCTAACTCCCGGTTCCTTTGCTCTGCGTCTGCAGCGACCTGTTCTCCGCCAGCAACACCGGGATAAACTTTGAGAAGTACGATGACATCCCAGTAGAAGCTACGGGACAGAACTGCCCTCATCACATCGAGAGCGTAAGCCGCTGCTCGTTACATAATCGCACATCCCCGCAGGGCGGTCTGCTCTAACGCGCTGGTCAAACAGTTCCAGGATGTAGACATGGGCGAGATCATCATGGGCAACGTGGCTCTGAGCCGCTACACCAGACCAACACCTGTTCAGAAATACGCCATTCCCATCGTCAAGTCCAAGAGGGACCTGATGGCCTGCGCCCAGACGGGTAAGACTCGCCAGGAACTAAACCAACAGGTCACACGTCTGTAGGACATGCTGCTGGATGAGTTTGTGTTTTCAGGCTCTGGAAAAACCGCAGCATTCCTGCTTCCGATCCTCAGTCAGATCTACACAGATGGACCGGGAGAAGCTCTTAATGCCACCAAAGCCTCTGGACAGGTAGGACGGCAGGTCTCGTCTAGTCATGCTTCTCTGCTTTCTAGTGCCGGGGTCAATCGAAAACGTAGTTCTGTTAATGTGAAGAAGTCCAAGCCTTCTCCATGGGAACGCCATCAGGTGCTTCAGAACCCGTGTGGGGAAGCGTTCACATCTGGTTTAAGTTTTTCAGACCACTGGGTGATCTCAGGAGCTTTACTGTGAACAAAACGGTTTAGTGACTAGTAAAGAGTCCTCTGTAGCACCTGGAACTGCTCAGTGTCTCTCAGGTAAAGGTGTGCCGGCCTCCTCCCTGGTCTGTGGACCCACCTCTCCTCACGGAGCGCTGGCTTCAGCTGAAGCTCACTTTGTGTTTCAGGACAACGGGAAGTACGGGCGCCGTAAGCAGTACCCCATAGCCCTGGTGCTGGCTCCGACCCGAGAACTGGCTCTGCAGATTCATGATGAGGCCCGGAAGGTATGCCCAAACATCTCTCTTACACACACACACACACACACACATACACACACACAGTGACACAAAGGAAAAGCATTAACCGAGTGTGTGTGTGTTAGTTTTCCTACCGCTCCAGAGTGCGTCCCTGCGTCGTGTACGGAGGAGCCGACATCGGCCAGCAGATCAGAGACCTGGAGAGAGGCTGCCACCTGCTGGTGGCCACGCCCGGCAGGCTGGTGGACATGATGGAGAGAGGCAAGATCGGACTGGACCACTGCAAGTAAGACATGAGCTACAGGCGCTGGTTAGAAGGTGAAGACTCTTTTAACCTCAGTTCCTCCTCAGCTACCTGGTCCTGGACGAGGCCGATCGGATGTTGGACATGGGCTTCGAGCCGCAGATCCGACGGATCGTGGAGCAGGACACCATGCCTCACAAGGGCATCAGGCAAACCTTGATGTTTAGCGCTACGTTTCCCAAAGAGATCCAGGTGGGTTTGTAGAGCCACTCTGACCAGCTTAGTCCCAGTTAAACCAGTCTGACGTTGGCTCTCCTCACAGATCCTAGCCAGGGATTTCCTGGAGGACTACATCTTCCTGGCCGTGGGCCGAGTGGGTTCCACCTCGGAGAACATCACGCAGAAAGTGGTGTGGGTGGAAGAGAGCGACAAGAGGTCCTTCCTCCTGGATCTGCTCAGCGCCACCGGTGAGCTCCTCTCAGCCGCCACCAGTACCTAACCTGCATGTTGTGATGAGGAGAACCTGCTGATTCTGGGTCACTAGACCATCAAATCTGTTCCTCAGGTGTTATTTGCTCTAATCCAGCTAACAAAAGTCTGACTCAAATCTCAGTTTACCAAATAATCTCCTAGAGTTCCACACTGTTCCACCCAAACCAACGTTCTTTCTCCAGTCTTTTTGCCGTTGTCCCTCTGTTCTCCTCACATCCCACGCCATTACATTACTACGTGTCATGCTTTAGCACAGTGTAACGTCCATCAGCTCCACCAAACACCCCTCTTAATCAGCAGGATTTAGTTGGGAGAGTCTGGTCAGTCTCTTAAGAGCAAATTTTCACCTGGAAATGATTTTTCTCTTCAGTTTCAAGCTTGGTTTATGCTTGACGCGTCCGCGAGGTTCGCACGGCTCCGCGCTGCAAAATTGCGTAATTTTAACAACCACGCCCCTCCACCTGGCCTCTGCACGGCCCAAACTTTCCGCACCGCGCACCTAGGAAATTTTCTAACCACGCGGACGGTCGAACGGAAAAACATGGCGGACTGGCAAGAACTAGTTATGGCAGAGTTCATAAATACAGATGTTTGTATGATTCAGCTCTCAGAGATCACCGTGGTCAACATGTTAATAATTCTTGGAGAGCAATAGCTCGCACTGTCGGAAAAGACGAGGACGCTGTTAAAAAATGCTGGAAAAAACATGAGGGACCGATGTGTGAAGGCAAGGAAGGGGAACAAACGGAAAAGCGGTGATCCTGGTGGAAACAAGAACACTCCACCAATTCTAAAAGAGCTGAGTTGGCTCTCAACTTTCATTAACAACTGTTATAAACAACAGTAATTTCTACTTCTACTACGGTGTAGTGTTGGATGCATGCCGTAGAGCTGCCATGCTGCCCCCTACAGTTTGGGAGAATATTGGCTCACCGCAGAGACAAGCCGCATGAACCAGAAACGCTGCGAGTTGTGAAGCGCGTTCCATCCGCGAGCCGCATCACCAAGCGGAAAGTGAATGTGTCAAGCATAGACCAAGCTTTCATCAAAACAAAGTTTAGTTGAGTGAAAGCCGTAAAATCAGGAGGATTAGATATAAAACCTTTGATGTGGTTTCGTCCCAAGTCATCCCCAGCGAGGTACAGGACAGTACTGGAGACAGCATAGAGAAACCTGGTAAGATCCACCATAAAGACACAACTTCTCATCAGTTTGCTTGATTCCAGCGTTTTCTTTTGTTTTTCTATGAGTTGAAGAGCCCTTGGGTTCGTTTAAGCCGCATTCCATTAGTCGGCTCTGCTGAGCTGAGATGACACATGCCTGTTGTTGTTTTCTGAAGTGACATCTCCATGTGCACTCTGTCTGTGGTGTCATGTCCAACCCGGAGCCTGATGGAGAGACTGGTCCAGACCGGAGTCTCTGCATCAGAGCTCCAGCTGATCCTGCATGGAGCCTTTTAGTCTTCTGGCTGTTTTTTATCTGCACCACATCCTTTTGTGTTTATTTTAGAGAACGTTTAAGCAGCGGACCTGCATGCGTCCCGCTGGAGACTGAGACGGCCAGTGGTGCTGTAGACTCATCCTAACACCCCAGTCTGGGTTTGAGGCAGAAGTTTGTTTTCATTCCAGCTCCAAACGATCACGGAGACACGTTAATCCACAAAACAGATGAAAACTCTTGCATTTTGCTTTGCATGCTCTAATTTTGTCTTTTCTTCTGAACGATACACACTTCCACCCCTCCCTGCAGCTATGTGGTAGTGCTTAAGAAAGGAGGAGGGTAAAACTCACTGGTGGGTCATTTAATAAAAATGGCCTCCATAATTTCCTGTAATAGTCCTGTTCCCATTGTCGGAACATCCGGGTGATTTATCCTGACCGTCGCGGTATGAGTGTGTCTCCGTTTCAGGGACCGCCCGAGTACCTGCCTTATGGGCCATTCCCATCTGTACCGGGTCGGCCCGGGCCGGGTAGCGTAGGTTGTTTACATATCTGGGTGGCCTGGTATTTTTCCGGGCCAACCAAGGCTCATTCTCAGCCCTCTTCTCGAGGGGGTCTGCTTCAGGCCGACCAGGGCCAACACACCCACTGCTGACAGCAAATTCACACCTTCCATTAGAGCAAGCCTCTGATTGGTGGGTAGAATCAGCCCACATGGGCTTAAGACAAGGATGTGTGGAATCAACCGGGCCAGGCTGGGGCCGACTGGGGCTACCCGGCCCGGGCCGACCCGGTACAGATGGGAATGGCCCATTAGAGTACGTACTCTGAAATGGCCCGGTAGACTCGCTGGGCGGGGCTTGTGGCTAACTCATGCTGATTGGTTGTAACTCAGTGGGAAATAATACTGGGAGTGGTCACTTACTGGCGTCACTCAGCTGCTCCCTCGATCTTCTGTAATGTCTTCGTCTTTTGATGGGTTAGGATGAGTGACGTCACTCACTGCTGAAACGTTCGATGAGCGGAAGTCCTGACAGAGCTGAGAGGACAGAACCATCGTCTTGTCCCTGTCCTCGTCCTCCCTTCCAGAAACAACCTGGAGCTTCTAAAGTGGAAACGCGGCTAATGACTTCTACAGTCTAACAAGGGTTTTACATAAAGTTCCTTCTTGTTTAGACCTCTGAGCTTCCATAGCTGCTTCCCTCTGCTCTTATTGCTCAACTGTTCAGAATCTGGTCAGTCGCATGTAAACTAAAGCCCTCGGCTCTGCCTCCTATCAGAGTAAACCTTTAGTGTCTTTAACTCTGGATAATCAGAAATCCACAGAGAACAGCCCTGACAGTATTTATCCAGATGCAGGCTTTGTCCCACTCGGATGTTTTCACATTTAAAGGGAGACTAGGCAGTTTGGCTTGCTTTGAGCAGCCCCTAGTGTTTAGTAGAATCAAAGCTCCTCTCTGTGCGTTTGTTTTTTTAACACTGTAGTCTAACAGCTGAAATGTCTCCCAGGCTTCATTAGTGTCTATAGGAGGGATTCATCACTACATTAAACAAATCAGCTGTGTTCACGATCTAAAACGTGCTGGTAGCAGACTGCAGCGCAACACGTGTCAGCTCCACTTTACTCAGGCCAACAGGGCCCGGACTGCCACTCTTAAGTTGCAAGAGTGGTATTCTGGCCACGGGGGACAGCAGGGGCTGGGTGGCCCTTCATTAACCCTGTAAAGGGTCATTTTAGCACATACTGGCTCAGGAAAAGGATTTAAAAAGATGAGAAAGTTGCAAAGCAATGTTTCTTCTTTTAGTGTGATAAATGTTGCCCAGGTCCATAACCAGGTTCACGGAAAAGCCTGTTTGACTCCTCCTCGCTATCAAAATGAGCCTTTCTGAGTTCCCCCACCAGATCAATGACATTCTTTCCTTGGTGTGTCCTGGTCCTTGGTCTAACCCCAAAATTCCACCATCTCCGCTCCGCCCCCGCTTTCCGCTGCCGCTCGCTTCCGAACTCAATTCTTACTGGTACCCGCTCTACAATGGCTCCGCTCCGGTGCGGAGACCTGAGGTGCGCAAACAGGCATGTGCGGGATTTTGGAGATCTTGCGATACAGTCCGAGCAATAAACGCGGAAGTTGGATCCAAACACCCGTTGTGTGGGAGAAGCATCGAAATGAACTGTTTAATCTGCCCATCATTTGTGTTGAGAGATCAGCAGTGTTTGGATCAACAAAGGGCGACTACTTTGATAGTAGAAACTGTATTTATGGCTTACTTTTGTGCATTTAAAGTTCAACCGCCATTGGTAGTTGTTAAAAGTTGTTAAACCTGTGCATATGAAACAAAAAACGCTTTTTGTTTATCGATTTATTGTGAAATAACGAAAGCTGTGCTTGCTCCCTTTCCTGTTGGGCGGTTGTGATTTCTGTCCATTTACTGCGGAGGTGCTCCGACGTCCAGCAAAAATACAATCGATCCTATTTTTGTCGGATGGCGGAACGGCGGGTGCCGCACTGCGCCGCACGGCCGCAGTAGTGGAACAGCTCTGATTGACTAAAACGGGACCAATTTTGCTGCGGAGTTCGTGCCGGAGCGGAGGTAGTGGAATTTTGAGGTAACTTCTAAAGGTTTGTGGTCACTCTGAACCGGGTCCGTAATATGGTAGAGCAACACCTGCTGGCCTGTGAAGTGAACATGAGGGACTGGTTCTGGCTGATGGACTTGATTCCTGTTTGTCTTCTCTTGGGTCGCCAGGTAAGGACTCGCTGACTCTCGTGTTTGTGGAGACCAAGAAAGGAGCAGATGCGTTGGAGGACTTCCTGTACCGGGAGGGCTACGCCTGCACCAGTATCCATGGTGACCGCTCCCAGAGAGACCGGGAGGAGGCTCTGAGCCAGTTCAGATCAGGAAAATGCCCCATTCTTGTTGCCACAGCGGTCAGTGAAGATCGAGTCCAGCTGAATCACAGTAAACCAGGATGAGCGATAGTTTCAGATTTAAAGTTTCTGTTTTCGTGTTCTCAGGTTGCAGCTCGAGGTCTTGACATCTCCAACGTGAAACACGTGATTAACTTCGACCTGCCCAGTGACATCGAGGAGTACGTCCACCGTATCGGACGTACGGGACGTGTTGGGAACCTGGGTGAGTGATCCAAACCTCCACACACCTGCTGCTGGTGGCGCCTACCACGTGTGTTTAACCCTGATGATCATCTGTAGGACTGGCCACGTCGTTCTTCAACGATAAAAATGGAAACATCACTAAAGACCTGCTGGACATCTTGGTCGAAGCCAAACAGGAAGTGCCCTCGTGGCTGGAGAGTCTGGCCTATGAACACCAGCACAAGAGTAACAACAGAGGACGCTCCAAGAGGTGCACACACATTTAAACAAAGTGTGCTTCTAGAGCAGCCATGTTTATTCTGCATTTGACTCAATCACAAGGTTCTCTGGTGGTTTTGGAGCTCGTGATTATCGTCAGACGGCTGCTGGAGGAAACTCAGGAGGGTTCGGGGGACGTGGAGGACGCAGCCAGGCAGGACATGGGGGAAACCGCGGCTTTGGTGGAGGTGAGGGTCGAAGCCAAAAGTCAACTTCTAGATTGAATCAGCTGCAGATGGACTAAACATAGAGCTCATTCAGACGTTCTCTCTTCCTCCTCAGGTGGTTTTGGCAACTTTTACACCAGCGACGGCTACGGCGGCAACTACTCGCACTCTCAAGTAGACTGGTGGGGCAACTAGGTGTCTTCATTGGTTCTTCTTTCCTCCTTTAGCTCCTCTCCATCATTTCTCTGCTCACTCGCCTACATCCCATCTGTCTTGTCACGTCCCTGAAGCCTCCATGCATGTTATTAAACTATTTATACTCATTTATATAAACCTCCTATCTCCAGTCAGTCATGCCTTTTATTAGCTTTAGAGTTTTCCTGTGCGTTCATCTTCTTAGTTCATAATCCTGAAATAGGCCACTTTTAAAGAGGGGAGCTTGAGTTTTAACTGGTTACGTTTCAGCCCTGGACGGCGATTGGTGTTGGCGTCCAGATAGCTGCCATGTTTGGTCTTTGGTGACTTTCCCCCAGAAGAAAATAACCGATTAAAGTTCACGGTGTTCTGAGAGCCCGTCGGTGAGGGGGCCGCTGTAGAAAGGGCAGACGTTTGTTTTTACCACTTCAGTTTGAGTTTTCATTGTGTTTGTCTGCATTTGTCCCGCTGTAACTTCACTTCATCCGTGTATTTAATGCATGGCCATGTTGTAAATTACCGGCCACAAACTTTTCTAAAAGATAAAGGAAAACATAAAAATATGCGTAGACGTCAAATTGTCTGCAGAAATTCTGACATTGGAATATGCCGATGACTCCTTTGTTTCTGTGACGGAGACGTGGGCGGAGCCACAACTTTTCCACCCTTTGGAAAACCAAAGTTACTGGGATCTGCTGGAGACAACGGCATCGGAAATGTTTCCCACTAGCACTGAAACCAGAGCTGGTTTAAGACTTGAGTTTATTTATGAACCAACATTATGGAATTTCCTTTGTTTCTGTACTGTGCCTTTTAAAATAAGAACCTTTGTTTCATCACTATAATACATCACTGGCCATGAGTATAGGCCAAGGGTTACCAAAAAGAATATATGTACATGTATAAATCTATATCCGAAGTCATGTGTGGGTCCAAACATGGATTTCTTTGCTCCCATTTGGAAGGAAACAAACTAGGATTGAACTAAATCAAACCTTGGCAAAATCCAAAACTAAAACACTCAAAACTGATGAGGAGTCGATTCAGTTCCTGATCGGGAGAACGGGATGAGTCCATTTCCCCAAATCATGGAACCACTGAAGCATTTGTAGGCATGTGGTTTTATGGTGTTTGGGGAACGGGTTGGCTCACTCGACCTGCGTCTGCAGCTCCGCGCGGAGCTCGCCGTTTGGTTTCCTCTCAGCCTCCGTCGTCCAGATCCCTGGTGTGTAGCGGCCCTTCTTGCTGTAATCCTAACATCCTGTTCCTGAATCCGGTCGGAGCGTTATCGGGGTGTACACTCTTGGTGCCGCCATGCTGAAGGGAAACCGGATCTGCTTCCACCACAAACGTTCTCCACCTTGTTTGTAAAATCTTGTTGGTGGAAACGCGTTTAAAAAGAAAAAGTAGTTGATCAACTTTCTGCTCACTCTATCCTGGAGAGTTAAACAAAGAGCCGTATCTAAAGCAGTTTCTATTTAGTCCCTGAGATCGTCGAGGTCTGGGTTTGAAAAACGGGATAACTGATGGTTGGGGCTTTCCACGGGTGTGATGCCACATATTCAGAGCACATCTTAGCCGTTTACTGTGATCAAGCACAAACTGGTTCCTTAGCCCTTTTCTCTCACAAGCCAAAGTTCTTCGTAAGGTTTAGAGCAGTCTCTGTTTCGTTGTACCAATCTTGATTTTCACCGCTTTTCAGGGCCGTCTCATTACAGCCGCTCTTACATTAAATCATTAAGCATTAGCTTTTTCTCTCTTTTTGCTCGTTCCGTTAAACTTCAGCCCAGTTTGGGGTGTCTAAAAGCAGCTAAACTGTGCTGATGGAAACGTGGCATAACACCGGCCTGACGTGGTTAAGAGACCTCCGTCCGTGTTTCATCCCAGATTGGACGTACGGGATCTCGTATATTCGGGCAGTTCAACGGTCCAAATCCCCTAGCTAGTGGGGACCTGTTCATTTTATTAGAACAATGTAAATATTCAACTCTTCAGCAAAAAAGTAATTTCCAGAAGAAAACGAATGTCAAATATTAGACGTGGAGAGTTATTGTTTGATCACTCAGCAATGGCCAGACGGTGTCTGGTAGGCTTTGTTCAGTGGGAAATTTGAGCTAAGTTTCACACGTAAACGGCTAAAAACAACAATAATCTTTTAATGCAGGTCTTTGTCAAATATCCCACTGACTCTGACTCATGACAAAGCTGGACCAAGACAATAAAACATATGCAAGTGTTGTTTTTTGGTCAAGTAGTTAAAATTACGAAGCAGATTGACGTAAATCAGCAGGCTTTAGTGATTACTGTCAGACCTTACTGTCCTGTGTTTTATTTAAGAGTACTTACTAAAACTGTCCAGTCATTCTTTAGAGCCAGTTCTCGAGGACATTAGAAAGCTTTTTCAGTTTTCTAATAAGATTCACACAGATGGCAAGTCACGAAATCATGCAAATCTCTAGAAAACACGTGGTACCAGAGGTGTTTTAATGCTAAGCTTAAAGACAGCTGTTGGAGAAAGGAACAGCACACTCCACCATGTCTCTTTAGTTTCTATCGATTTGTAATTACACCAAAAACAGTTACTTTGCGTTATTTCCATTTCAGCAGAAGATCAGCTCTTGTAGCGTGAAGGTTTATCATTGTAGTTGAAATTGTTTAATGAATTGAAATTAGAAGCCATGAAGGTTTGAGGTGGTTTAATGAGTCATTTTAACATCTATTGGCCAAATATGTTTAACCCTGTGGGCTCGTTAGCAAATATTCAATTTCCTCCTGCAGCAATGGTGGATAGTCTCCATCTTAAGTTTATTAGTGAGCAAACGACCAGGAGGATGATTGAATCTGTTCAAGAACAATACGTTGCAAATGACAATCAGTTCGGAAGAAAATGTTAAGTTTAAACAATAGTTCCGTTTTTCCATCTGGATCGTTACGTTTTGAACCTCCAACCCAGGTCGTACAGAATTAAAGAAGAAAACGGTAAACGGGCTGATGAATGTTAAATGTAGGTATAACGTTCACCACTGAGTCCTCGTGTTACTGATTCTTCAGAGCTGTTTCACTATAATTCACTCGTGTGCTTCTGTCGAGCCACTCTGACCATTAGAATACTAGAGGACGTAAACAGTGATAGAAACCGTTGCAGGTTGTTGCCGTTGTTGTGCCTTCAAATGACCACTAGAGGGCAGTGAAGGGACTAGCGCATCGTTGGCTGCAGTTTGTGTTGAATATAGTTTAAATTTGTAATTGTAGATAAAACTTACACTAACTTTTGTATCGTTTATGTTACTAGTTTCAAATAGAAGTCAAACATGCAATAAGCTTTGGCTTTTTCTTTGCCCGTAACTTTTTGGTTATAATTACCGAAACAATCCCAAAATACGGAAAACTTCTAACAACTTTTTCCCAAATCGACCCGCTTTAAAAATACACCTGAGCTCTGAATTTCAACCAAAGTGAAATGAAGTAAATTTATGCTGTACTTGTTCTGACTTGGTGCTCTAAGAATTTGAGTTTGGGCCAATCCGAATGCTTGTTAGCATAACTACTCACATTAGCTTGTGAGCATGCTAACCGCCCATGATTTCTTTAGCCTTTTTAGCTTGTACTTATCGACTTGTCAGTTGGTTAGCATATCAATCTTTACCCTTTGGCATAATTGCATGTTAACCAACCATCGTACGTTAGCGTGTTTGCTAGTTTTTAACATGCTAACAAGCTGGACATTTGAGTTTTAGAAATGTGCCTTGCAACGACAGAATTACTAACTCAATAACACAGAGGTTAGAGCCGGGTATTGTTCGCTTGGATTTAAAGTCTAACCATTCATTCAAAAGGTATGAAAGCTAAAGTATCAGTCGTTTTGCACCTTGAAACCTGTAGATGTGAATGTCAGAGATTGACTACCTCAAACCAGAAGGACATTACCTCGGGTCATGTTTAACGGCCAGTGCCCAGAATTCCTGTTTTAAAGAGGATTAAGTTCAGCATCAAATATAAAACTTCTTTAGGTAGCAGTGGTACGACCACATGAAAAAGCCACCTACAGATCAGTCACACCTAACAACCCAGGCACAATTTCTAACGAGAATCCCTGGCTTCTACTGAATCATTTCGTACCATTAGTGTCACATTTCGAGCAGCTTTCTGCATTACTGTCTGTCCATTGGTGTTAACTGCAGTTTGAATCTAAAACTTTCATATTTATCCAAGTCCAAAACTACGTGGCAAGGCTAAATACAAGCTAAACCATTGGGAAGCGCTAACATGCTAATGTTCCTAGCGTGTTCCTTCCTGTCGTGTTGGCGTTTACATGTACCTATGCAGAATCTTTAGCAGATCTGTTGTATTTCCACTCTGAGAGTGCCTGTATTATAAATCTGATTTGTTTGGACCACGTTGAGCACGGTCAGTTCATTCCTTCTGCTCTCCTTTACAAACCCAGCACTTTAGTTTTAAAGTTCTTTGTAAAAGAAAAAAAACCTGTCGATGCCTTAAATTGGTGGCGATACCCAGCCCACGTAGAGCGGACGGCCGAGTTAAGGGTTGTGATCCTGTCACTAAGTTATTAGCAGGAGTGTTTTTAAAGAGACGAAGAACAATAATGGTGCTATGCTCCCATTGCTGCGGCCCGCAGGCCTCTTTGTTGTAAAATGATTTAAGATCCCAACAGTTTGACAGGAAAAGCTGTTAGCTTAAAGCTTGTTTACATTGAGTCTTATGTAGCACACGTCCTTCTCACCTCTGAGAGGTTTGTATGACCGAAGTTGACTGCAGCGTAGCACAGCCAGGTGTCAAAGCGAGGAGTTGCCCACAGTTTAATGTGGTTTGAGTGTGAGTGTGTGTGTGTGTGTGTGTGTGTGTTGTGTGGAAAGGTTCTTCCAGGTATGAAACTGTTGTTTTTATGATTTGATTTTACTTTGTTTTCTGGGACCAGGTGGAGTTTTGTTACCAGCAACTGTAGGATTCAGCTGTTTGCACTCGGGAGTTCTCGAGTCTACCTTCGCTGCTAGTTTGTGTGATTTATCGAGCATTTCTGGGAAATATTTATTTTTATAAGCCTAACGCAAAAGTTGATATTTTACAAAGTGACTTGACCAAAAGACAGTAAACAAAAACACTGGCACTTGAATGTTGAATGTCATTGGTATGAGTGAAAATTTCTATTTTACTGGGGTAGTGTGAGCTTTTTAATGTTAAAGATGAGTAGGGTGTTTCAGCTGCGTGTGTCACTGACTTCTGCTCTTACTGGTGCCAAAATCAGCCAACGGACCACCACCCGGGCACATTGCTCCTGTAACACCTCAAACTTCCCATTTTCTCCAGTTGCATCAGAAACTAGAACGTTTTTCACATTCATGGTCGGGAACAGGACTCCGTTCCAAACCCAACGTTACTAAAGGATAGTCTTGGTGTTTAAAACGGACTCCGTGCTGCATGAAGCTGAAGGTAAGGCACCGGCTGTGACATACGAAGGGAAGCACCCTAACCATGTTACCTTTAAAGTCCCATTTCTGATCCATAAACCTGTTGGTGCAACGGGTTCTTCTGCCGCCTAAATATTACGTTATGATCGTCCGTTAGGAGCAGTTAATAATTGGCAAACAAATTAGAAAAACAACTAAATATGCCAAGGTTTGGATTAAAAATGTTATGATCAAAGACCATTTTATAAAAAAGCAACATGCAGTACAAAAAACCACAAAAAAAAAACTGAAACGTGTATCCAGATTCTCCCCGAGTCAGTTTTCTGTTTCATTTTTCTTTTCTGTTTGAAATCTCGACACTTTCCTCCTTGTTGAAAACCCTCGTTGTGAATGTCTGGCAAGTGGCCGTCTTTAGTCTTCATCCTGCAGAATTAACTGTGGTTCTATTGCTCTGTTGTTGTGGTTTTCCAGGCGGCAGCGTGTTAGTGCTGTCACAGGAAGTTTCTGGCCAGGCAGGAAAAAAAATGTCTTTGTTTCTGAGCAAACCTTAACGGCATCTTAGTTTCTCCTAAAGAAGGTGGTCTTTGGGGAAAGAAGTGAAGACCAGCGGACTCTAGAGCTGCTGGCCAGACCCTCGATGTGACTCAGCAGTAGCACTAGCCTGGTAGTTAGTATTTGCTTTATGTATTAGTTTAGCTGTTGTGCACGACGAGCACTGCACGAAGAAAAAAAGGATAAAAACAAAAACTGTGCAACTATTCCGATTTTACCACAAATAAAGGTTTGAATTTGCAGATGTGATCAGCCTTTTGATTGGTTTCTTCATTGTTACGTTTGAGTTCCTTCTATAGAAGTTTGGAAAAGCAAAACCAGCCTGAAGTTTAACCTTTTTTTGTTTTCATAGTGAAACGATTTGGCTAAAAGTGCACGTGTTGTTGCACCAGCCAACCAACCAATCAGAGGGCTTTTTGGAAGGTTCATGCGTTGACCAGAGGATGGGTCTAGATCGTACACCTGTACGGGGTCGTGGAGCTGTAGGAACTCTGCAGTCACAGGAACATTCATAATAAAACCCTTTTATTCTTTTGCTCATTGACATGTTGGCTTGCATTCAGGTGACCGATTACAGACGTTTCTCTGAAAATCATTAAAACATCATTCATAGATGTACACTTTACTGGGCAGCCATTCAGATTACCTTAGTGCTTTATAAATGTACAAATACCAGACAGAATGAGTCAAAAGGAATAAAACAGTGGCCCTATGACTATAAGTAGTTCTAAACCAGCTAAAATGCAGCAATAAGCAGAAAAAGCACCGATTTGAAACTGATCTCAGATGTGCTTTAACTGAAGCGCCGTGTTACGCTTCCCAGAAGCCGTTAAATTTACTCGTATTTTTCAAAGGTCAACAGCACCCCATATTTCATCCATCTGCAGTGGTCCCTAATAGGTCGTCTGGGAAGAAAAAAGCTCAAATGCATTTGTTTGAGGAGGAAGAGAAAGGAGTGTCAGACTGCAGGACCTGGAGTCTTACTTCCTGGTATGGGGACATCTCCTCTGGCTAACAGCAACACAACTACCACTGACTCTGCTCTGCTACGTTGATGTTTTATCTCCACAAATAAGACAAGCCTGGAGGAGTTCTGCTGTGTGGTGGAGTAGCTAATGCTAACCATTAGCTTCTACTAGCCAAGACGCGCTCTGCTGTTTCCTGGATGCTAAACCAACAACCTTCCCCGTCGTGAGTCAAGATGGATGATTTCATGAATGTTAGTGAGTGTGACGTAGATCTGTCAGGATTTTCTAATCTTAGAGTTTCACAGTCTGTTTTCTGTCAGAAGATAATGCTAGGTGTAGGAGACTATTTTCATGTTCAGCCTGCATGAAACACTGATTTATAATCTAAAATAAGTTAAAGAAAAGTTTCTCAGTGAACCTGCTCTTTAAGACTTCGCGTCGAGCTCAATGGATCAGACAGGAAGTCTAAACCTAAAGTGTCAAACATCAGGGAACTTCAAGCTTTTAGGTCATTTTAAATCACATATCAGACACAAGGCCCGCAGGCCAGATGCGGCCCGCGGAGCATTTTTATGTGGCCCGTGAGATAAATATCAAAAATATATTAAAGCTGGCCGATTTTACCGCAAAGACTTCAACTCCCATGATGCTTTGCGGCGTTAGCGCAGAGCCGACGCGCCCCCTCTGTGTTTTTTCCAGCGCCTGCTGCCGGTGTCTGCAGCTCCGCTGTCTCGGACAAACTACACTCCTCTCACTCAGCGCCGAGTTCACTCAGCTGTTTTCTGACGTTGAAGCCCAGAAACGGAGATTCTAGCCGCTCAGTAATGTGTTCACGACTGAAAGAGAAAGTTTTCAAACTAACGTCCAGACAGAGCTGATATAACTCCAGCGAGCAGCGACACGCTCAAACCAGCATGGCCCTGTGGTTGCTGTCGTGTTTCCTCCCCGACACACAACAACGTGGTCAAGCTGCTCAGACATGTTCAGCAGCACAAACCTATGTGAGCACCCGTTGTCATCTAATGTTGTCATTATTATGATGAAGATAAACAAAACAACAGGAGGCTCCTCCTCAGCTCAGGTCAACCCCATGATGCAGGTATCTGGCTGGAACAGGTGAGCATCACAGTAAACCAGTGGAGCAAACTGAGCTTTAAATATGTTGGATTTATGCTCTTTTTCTGCTCCAAAACATGAAAGTTAACAGGTGAGATGTTGCATTTTCATTTAAGATAAAATGATATTTTTATTTTGTTGTTGGCCCGTGAGAAAAGATTTAACCTACAGTAAACAGGAAGTGGAAAGGCTGCAGATAGATGACTAGAATACAAAATCCTTTTATTGTTCCTCAGTGGGGAAAGCTAGATGTCACAGCAGCGATGACACTTATTACAGGAGGAAAAAATGAGAATAAATAAGAAATGAATAAACAAGAAAACATAAATCCTGAATAGATTTTAAAAATGCTGATTTTACCACAAGTAATGAATACCACTGATGCCTTTTATTTAAAACTGACTTGTTCGTGTGTAATTGGGTTATTCCACATTCAGTGTTAACGCAGAAATATGTTTGTTTCCAAATTTAAAGGTTCAAAATTGCATATATGTTGATAAAGAAAATGTGCAAATTTGACGTCACTTTTTCAAAAAATATTAAGTTTGGCCCTCGACTCAGTCCCAGAGTTTCATTTCGGCCCCGTGTGAGTTTGACACCCCTGTTTTAAATACTGCCTGAGTAAGGCTTCATCCCCCCCGGGCTTCCAACAAGCTGTGGAATGAAAATAATTCATCTAGATCAAAGCATCATTGATAGGTTCAACCTGAGCGTAATAAGACCCTTCATACCTAAAATATAGTTAAACATACATTAGGAGACAGTCAGCAGGGGGCCCTGCTTTCCGTTTGGCACTTCAGTTGGTCCAACAGTTAAAATGAAAAGGTTCTGTCCTGAGCCCGGTGTTTGTTCAGGACTTCAGTGTTTGAGCAGCAAATCTGTGCTACACAAACACATCGGTTACTTCCTGTCAGACGAGCCTCAGGGCTAAGTTGGCCCAGGGATTTTGTTGGAAGTTTTCTCAAACGTGCTTCTGATGTTCTGGTCGTCGCTCACGTCTGACCAGAAGTCTGGGTTGTCCTGGTACCATTGGGCTAGAAGAAACACTGGTAAGTAATCTATTACCATGAGAATGAGAAGTATTTGTTGGTGTGTCAGTACACCTGTTTGTTTGATCCCTTCAGCCCAGGGCACCTGCTCTCTCCAGCCCAGCTGCTGCAGCTTCTCGCACCTGATTGGGTACCGAAGGTCGACCCGCGGCCTACAGGAAACAGACAAGTTCAGACTATTTCCTGGAGGCGTGGCTATTTCCTGTCTCACCTCTCCGGCACGAACTCCAACCAGTCGTTCACTTTGGAGTCCGCTATGTTCTTCACCTAGAACAGGTCCAGAAACTGCTTCATGAACGGAAACCAGCTGACTCGCTTTAATAACAACCGACTCTAAACTCACCATCTTCACGAGCTCACGCGCCAGCTGCACGATGGGAATCTCGAAGCTCGTTCCCACGTTGTAGATCTCCCCCACAATCCCTCTCTCTAGAACCAGCAGGAAGGCGTTGACGGCGTCACTGACAAACAGGAAGTGGCGGGATTGGGGGAGGACTCCTTGGATGGTGCTGCAGCAGAAAGAAAATACATGTTAAACAGAGAACATAAAAAAACCAAAGTCTGACGGTGAAAAGGGAGCTGGGTGAGTTCAAACCAACCATTTCTGGTTCTTCAGCAGCAAGGTGAGAAACCGGGGAATAACCTACACAGAATGGGATTTAGCATGAGTAATCCATTTGCTACGCACGTTCGAACCATTACAGAAAAAGCAACAAGGTGGGTGTTTGTGTGAAAGATGGCGATACCTTCTCTGTGTACTGCCTGGGCCCGTAGATATTGTTGCTCCTGGTAATGATGATTGGAAACTAGAGACACAAGCAGGATTTAAATCTAGCTTTAGACCAGAGGAAAACCCACCAGACACCCTTTACCTGATACTTGTCCCAGTACGATTGGACCAGGTACTCTGCAGCTACCTTTGAGACAGCATACGGATTGGTGGGTCTCCGAGGACTGCTCTCATCAAACACCTTCAGAAAAAATCCCACCTGACCTGTTATACACCTCAGACGGGTCAGTTAAAGCACATGAACCAAACAAACCCACCGACCTCGCCCAGACTGCCTCCGTACACCTCATCGGTGCTGACGTAGATGAAGCGCTGAGGTTGGTGTCCAGCCCGGTGAGCGGCGTCCAGTAGAACTCTGGTTCCATCAACGTTGACCCGCTGGAAACTGGACGCGGATCTGAACGAGGCCTCTGCAACGAGAAGTAAAAGCTTCAGGTAAAAGCTCCCTTTGACTGGACCGAGCCAGCGTCCGCTGCTCACCAACGTGGGTTTGAGCTGCCAGGTGGAAGATCACATCAATGCTTCCTATGCTGAAGAGGTGGTTCACCAGCTGGGAGTCACGAACATCTCCCTAAAAATCAAACAGCACGACATCGATCAAGTCTTCATTATAAATATTCAAATGTGAGGTTTTACCTTAATAAAGGTGTAGTTCGCTTGGTTCTCAACACTCTCCAGGCTCCTGGAGCTGCAGCAGTACTCCAGCTGTGGCAAGAGAATAAGATGTCCACATGACCCAAATAAACTTGGAACACCAGATAAGCAAAGTGTTTCACTTACATTATCCAAGTTAATAATCCTCCAATCTGGGTGACTGGTGACCAGTGAGCTCACCAGATGAGAGCCTCTACAGACAGATCACCAGATGAAGTAAAACACCTGATCTCAGCTGCTCATTTCTGACTACAGTAGATAATTCTAAAGGTGCTAATGCTCAGGATGAACTCACATGAATCCTGAGCCTCCTGTCACCAGGACGGTTCTGCTAAAGTCCATCTTCCGGTCTTCACTGGCTGTTATTTCACATTTAGGCATAAAAATGTCATGTTGATCTTTCCATCGACTCTAAACAAACCAGTTAAGAATACATGAGCGCTTTGTTTCACCTCTGTTAAATAGTGTGGTGTACGACAGTTTGATCCTGCTTTACGGTATTGTTGACACGTTGAAAATGGGCGGAACGTTTCTGCCCCCGCATGTAGACCAAGTTTTGTTCACTGATTGGTTAAAGCTTATGAGGCACGAGCCCACGCCCAGTTTCATTGCGTGCCTTACACGTCAATCAAAATGTCAACGGCAGCTAACGGGGAGAGCGAAGAGGACAAGTAAGCTAAAATACGTGTAATTTCCGGGAATTCCTTTCAAAATAAGAATGTTCGGGAAGAATTTTTTACGAAATAGTTGCACAATGACAATTATGAGACAGAACATCAATTACTTTTTTTTAAAGTAAGCTTTATTTGCTCGTTTACCACAATTTTCTTCTAATCCTGGTTGAATCACATAATTAAAAGTTGTTGAACAAACTTTTATTTTGAAGCGTGAACACCCCAATTCCTGGTTAGCCCTAGCTTAACTCGTTGACTTCACGCGCCTGTGTTACTTCTGGCTTCGTGGCTCATTGATTTGATCAGTAAACGCTCATTTCTTGGTGCCGCTTCACGCTCTAGCGGGAAATGTCGCGTTTATTCGCGACGCTCGTGGCCGCGGTGCTGCTCGGCTCCGAGGCTTCTGGGAAAACCGTGACGGGACTTTTTAGGAGCGAAGCGGCGAGACAGGAAAATGGCCAGTTCATCACTAAATTCATGTTCCAAGGTAACGTTTCACGTCATCAGTTTGTTGTTATTTCCCGCAGCCTCGTTTACCTGCGGGTTGTGATGACGTCACCACCGATTTCTGCTCTGGTCCAGATCTAGTTATCCAATAAAAGATCAGATTTATTATTGATGGGCTCGCTGATGCTCGGGTTTGTCAAACAGAATAAAAGTTGTTTTATTATCTTAATAAACTAGAATGAACTGTAAGCTGTGTATGAACTATGTTTCCATGCGTGCTGGCTGGACCAGGTGGTAACGGTCTGGTGGTGTGTCGGTTGGAGAACCCCCTCCTGGCTGCTCAGAGGGAATCCAGGCTGCTGCTGTATCAGGATCTGGACTCGGATCTAGACAACCTGAGCTGCTCCCAGAGGCTCAGCAGAGCCCACTTCACCAGTAAGAACCCGTCAGCGCTGAAATGCTGACGTCTGATGCGCCGTATTGATTTACTCTTCCTCCTCAGTTCCTCTCAGCCAGGAAGAGCACAACCAGACGATCCCTCCTCATTCGTCGCCCTCGCTCTGGCGGGTCCTGTATGCTGACAGATGCACGTGTCAGGTAACTGAGTATTCCATCCTACGTGTCGCCCACTACCTATTCTTAACTCTTTTCCCCTCCTTTGTGATTCTGCCTGCAGGAAAACTCAGTGACCCACTCCGATGTGAGGTTCACACTCCTGATGTTGAACGCCGACTCTGCGGGGAATCCTCTGGAGCATTTCAGTGCCGAGGAGACAGGTCGGACCTGCAGAGATTAGGAATCTTCTCCTGCTCTTTCCACGCTGTCGGTCTGGATCCTAACTGATCTCCATCTTTTATGTTGGGCGTGACTCTCAGGGCTGCACAGCTTCTACTTCCTGCTGCTGCTGGCCTACTTCCTGGCCTGCTGCATCTACATCCAGCCTCTGTGCCAGGCTCTGAGGAAAGGGGGGCCCATGCACACTGTGCTCAAAGTGCTGTCCACCGCACTGGCTCTGCAGGGCTGCTCTGCCCTCTGTAACTACATCCACCTGGCCAGGTGGGCTCAGAGGCAGTGTTTAATGACTCTGGCTTCTACAATTGTCTGATTGCTCCTCCTGTCTGCTGCAGGTACTCCAGAGATGGAACAGGATTTCCTCTGATGGGCAGCTTAGCTGAGCGTACGTCGTTTTCTCTGCTCACATTGAAGCTTCAGATGTTTAGATTTTTATTAAAGTAAAAATGTGTCCTCCTATTTTATTTCAGTCTGGGACATGGTGTCCCAGGTGTCCATGCTGTACATGCTGCTGAGCCTGTGTATGGGCTGGACTCTGAGCCGGGGCAGGAAGCCTCAGTCCAGACCTCTGCAGTGGGAGCAGTCTCCAGCCTCCACAGCTGTGGCTGTGGGTGGAGTCATCACACAGGTAAGCACACCTCCTCCTGACAGCTTGTCTGATGTGATCTGGTCTGAGATGATGTTGGAACTGTCTCCAGGGTGTGCTGCTGCTGTGGGAGCAGTTCTCAGAGTCAGACAGCGACCACCACAGCTACCACGCCCAGCAGAGTCTGGCCGGGCTCCTCCTGCTGGCTCTGAGGGTGGGGCTGGCCCTGCTGCTGGCCTCCATCCTCTACCAGATCATCTCCACGGAGAGGAGCACCCTGAAGAGAGACTTCTACTTCAGCTTCACCAAGGTAACCGCGCCGGTCCCCGAGGCAGCATCCAGGTATGTCCGTCCGTCTGAGTCTTCAGCTGCTGTCTCTGCAGGGCTGTTTCCTGTGGTTCCTCTGTCACCCCGTCCTCGTCCTCATGTCGGTGATCTTCAACGATCATCAGAAGGAGAAGGTTGGGTTTTTATTTACACATCCATCCATCCTCTAACGTAACTGATAGATTCAGAGTTTGCTTTCACTTCTCTGAAGGTGGTGACCATCGGTGTGATCCTCTGCCAGTCCATCTCCATGGTGGTCCTCTACCAGCTCTTCCTCTCCCGCTCTCTGTACTGGGAGGTGTCCTCCCTGTCCTCCGTGTCTCTGCCACTCACCATGTCCAGAACGAACCACAGGGGGCGCTACTGAAGACGGCTGCAGCCACAAACACCAGAATCACGGTGAGGGCCGAAGCGCCTCCTCTGGACAGGAAAGAGACTCAGAGAGTGGACGCGGTCCGAGATCGGTGCTCCTGGGAGGACAGTTACCACCAAGGGTTACCAGGTTACCACGACGACAGAATGATCAGAGGGCATTTACTGCAGCACACTAGCTCTGATATTTACCTGCAGCTTCTGTCACGATGGCTGAGAGAGACGAGGTAACGGTCCGGCGGATCCGCTAACGTGGGACGGAGCAGAGGTCAGAACTCTGGATTTAGGTTGATGTTCTCATTTAAACTCCTAATTCACCAAGAAGCAGCTTTGTTCAGTCTGAGCGGCGCCGGATCGAATGTCAGAAAAGCACAAAGAGATGTGGACTGGTGTAGGTTTTATGTTTGTCACAGTAAAGGTCAGGTCAGGTGGTTTTAAAGGTGTGTGTGTGTGTGTGTGTGTGTGTGTGTGTGTGTGTGTGTGTGTGTGTGTGTGTGTGTGTGTGTGTGTGTGTGTGTGTGTGTGTGTGTGTGTGTGTGTGTGTGTGTGTGTGTGTGTGTGTGTGTGTGTTCAGCTTCAGCGATAATTAGCTGAGTCGTAAACCAGCGGTAGCCTCTCACTGTGAACATGAAGGTCTGAGCTGATGGACCGTTACCTGTATGATGCATGATGTAACACGTTACACCATAAAAGGATTCCACTTCCACACGTTCTCTCTCTCTTTATTATGGAGTTGACGTCACTTCTCCCGGCATGCAACAGTTCAAATTGAAACGGCGCCATCTTGGCAGGCAGTAGCCGGCAGCTAGGCTATTTGTTATTGTCAGAAAACTCAATAAACGGGGAATATGGTAGATTCCTGTTGTGCCCCAGGATGCCAGAACAGACACGGACAACATAAGGAATGAGCCATCTACAGGATTCCTCAAGATCCGGAGTGCCGCAAACGTTGGATCATTGTAATAAAACGCGCTAGCCTCCGGGCTAAAATGAAACAGGGATCCCGAGAGTAAAGGTTTTCGCTTATGCAGCGACCACTTCATATCAGGTACTCAAACCAACGTTTCCTCAACTGTGTATGGTATTTCTTTTAAATGCTTTTATTATGATTCTTAGTGGGCTTCCTAAACTTATTTTGGCGTGGCTTTTTCTGTCTTATTACTCATAGCAACAAGTAAACATCACGTAAAACATTGCCTCGTGAGTTCTGCGTGCTGCCGTTTACGTGTTTAATGATCACAGCAATTAAAGAGCAAGTCACCCCCTATCAGAGTCTTACTCAACTCCCACTTCATGTTTGAAAAATGCAACAAATGCTGTTGCCTAGCAGACCGAGAGGGCGGAGTTGCTAACAAATACACACACGCACAGGCTCACAATGACATTGTGACATCATAATGTACCAGCTAACATCACTGTGTACTCTTAGCCAATAGCGGTGGTAGATTTAAATTCAAATGCAGTGCAGAGCTTTTACCTGACGATGGCAAAACACTGACAGTTTTAGTCAGAATATTCAACTGGTACATTATGATGTCACAATGTTGTTGTGAGCCTGTGTGTGTGTGCATGTGTTAGCGGCTCCGCCCTCTTGGTCTGCCAGGCAACAGCATTTGTTGCATTTTTCAAACATGAAGTGGGAGTGGAGTAAGTTTTTTGTAGGGGGTGACTTGCTCTTTAAATTTTAACTAAGATGCACTAAAGTGCCAAATGATTGACTACACATGTCAACAGTGCGATAAGACACTCATTTGTCTAGTTTATCAGCAAAAAAATGTGAGTTGCTCTTTAACTAACTACGCTGTATTTCATTTTTAAGCAATGGTTGATCAATTGTCAGATCACACATAAAAAGCACTCTGGATTGCTATTATCTGTCTCACCGAGACAGATCACAGACAGATCCTGAGATGCTCCTGCCTGACATATTTTTATTCATGTAAAAAAATCAGACTAGTGATTTCTCTTGGTGTTCAGTTTATACATTCAAACAGCACAGCACTCTATTCAAACTACTTACATGTAAATCTGTTATTTTGTTAGCAGAGTTGATTTGTGTTGCGTTATGGCACTAGAACTTGAGTAGATAAGTAAGATAATAAGAAATCAGACATTGTCTTCATTCTAACGTATGACTCCACCACTGCTCCTCCATCAGATAGGGGAGGGTGTGGAGCCTTACACCGCCATTTTATTGTGACGTCAATTCGTTCACAACAACAAACACCTGTGGACACTCAATCCAACATATTTGTCCATCCATCCATTTTCATCTGCTTATCCGGAGTCGGGTCGTGGGGGCAGTAGCCTAAGTCAAGAGGCCCAGACTTCCCTCTCCCCAGCCACTTGGGCCAGCTCCTCCGGGGAAATCCCAAGGCGTTCCCTGGCCAGGTCCGCTCCGACAGCTTCTGGCGTTTTTAGATAGATAGATAGATAGATAGATAGATAGATAGATAGAGTTTATTGTCCACCTCGAATTGAGGCAGAAATTCGCCTTTGACATGGCTCATCTTACAATACAATCCATATTGCATTCACACAAATATATAAAAGACAATTAAAAGATATTAAAATGTTATCGTAAAAAAAAATAATAATAATAAATAAAATAAAACTTTAAGAATTCAAAATTTTAATTGCGGTGGGAACAAATGATTTTTATAGACACCTTTCTTGGCCAATGGAACTCTGTACCTCCTTCCTGATGGATGTAGCTGGAAATGTGGGTTCAGTGGATGGGTTGAGTCTGCACTGATCAGGGTAGCCTTCCTGTGCACCGCTCGCTCGTGAAGAACAGAAAGTGGGATCTGAGGTGAGCCTGTAATTTTCTGCCTAATTTAACAATGTGAGAGAGTTGTGTTTTGTTTTTAACTGTAAGAAAGTTATACCAAGCTGTAATATTGAAAGTTAGAATGGATTCAATCAGTGATTTATATACAATTGTTAGGATGTCCTTGTTCACATTGAGTGCTCTTAGCGTCCTTAGCAGGTGGAGTCTTTGCTTTCTTGTAGACACCGTTGCTGTGATTTGCAAAGGACAGGTGGTCATCAATTTCTGTTCCCAGATACCTGAATGACTGAACCTGCTCCACAGGCTGACCCTGTACGCTGAGGGGTTTGAACAGGGACGTGTCTGCCTCACTGGCTGCCCCACAGCACATTTCTTTAGTTTTTGAGATATTCAGCCCCAGGTGAAAGTCTTCAAATGTCTGGACCAGATTGCTGACCGCCTGCTGATATTTAGACAGGTCCTTCGATGTCTTCACTGATGCCACCAGTGCCATGTCGTCTGCATACTCATACAGGGTCATTCTCTCACTATGGCACCGGATGTTGTTTGTGTAGACAGAGAAAAGCACTGGGGACAAAACACAGCCTTGTGGCAGTCCAATGCTAATGACACCTTTCATGGATTTAAATCCTCTTAAAAACACTTGTTGTGGCCTGTCTTTCAAAAAGTTGTGGATCCATAAAAGCAGTGTTGTGTGGAGATGGAGATCTGAAAGCAGTTCCAGCAAAATGCTGGTGTCTACTGTGTTAAATGCAGAAGAAAAATCCATGAATAGGATTCTTGTGTATGGTTGCGTAGAGTCCATGTGTTTAGTGACAGCATTTAGAAGAGTGAGACTTGCATCCTCTACACCACGTTTTGCCTTGTAAGCAAATTGTAGGGGATCCAGCTGGTCCGAGATGAATTTTGTCAAATGTCCTCCTACTACCCTTTCCATGCACTTGCACAGAACTGATGTAAGGGCCACGGTTCTAAAGTCCCCCAGTTCTTTTGCATGAGCTTTCTTGGGGATCGGAATTATCACGGATTCTTTCCATTGCTCTGGAACGCAGCCAAAGTCCAGAAGGAGCTGGAAGAGTCTGATGAGTACCCCACCTAGCTGGGTGGAGCATTCTTTCAGAACCCTGCCACGGAGCCCATCAGGGCCAGAGCTCTTGTAGGGGTTGATGCAGCGCAGGATGGTGGTAACCTCCTCCTCGCTGATTGTTAGCGCTGGTTCAGTGAGGCCCCTGGGGGGGGGGGGGGGGGGGGACGAAAGGGGGCGAACGCTGTTGAAGCGGGCAAAAAAGACGTTCAGGTGTTCTGCCAACGAGATGGAGTCATGGCAGTTGACTTGCGGGATCTCAGGGTCTCTTCCCATCATGATGTTCAGGCCCTGCCATGCCTTTCGAGCATTTCCAGATGTGAGTTGGTGCTCCACATTCTGTGTTTGTTTCCTTTTTGCAAGGATGGCTTTCCTCTGAAAGTCTTTCTCCAGCACCCTCACGCGCTCATAGTCCTTCTGAAGGAAGGCCCGTTTCTTCTCCACCAGGCACATTTTAAGTTCCTTTGTGATCCACTTTTTGTTGTTTGGGTGTACTTTTATTTGCTTGGTAGTCGTAACTATTTCTTCGCAAAAGAGAATATCTGAGGTCATTACATCCGTCAGCATGTTCAGATTGTTTCCACTGTCATTAAAAAATACGTCCCTATCGGTCATTTCAAAACAGCCCTTTAATGCTTCACTCGAATCCTCATTCCAAACTTGGATATTTTTTGTTACCACTTCCCCTGTCTTCAGTTGTGACCTGTATTTTGGTAGTAGTAAGACTACATTGTGGTCTGATCTACCAAGAGGTGGACGTGACTTTGAGATGTGTGCATTTGGGATGTTGCCATAACACTGGTCTAGTATCTTGCTTCCTCTTGTGGCTGTTGTGACACATTGCCCTAGATTAGGTAAATATGTTATGATGTCGCATTTATTAAAGTCTCCCAAAAGAAATACTGGCTGATCTCCGGTTCTGTTGACAGCCCTGTTAAAACTATCTGCTATGGCGTCAGCAGCTAAGTTAAAATCAGGGCCCGGCACGTAGACCAAGATGACAGTGATTTGAGTAAACTCACGTGGGAGGTAGTGTGGTCTAAAAGACACTGTAAATGTTTAAATTGTATCCCTGGGGCATGGTAAGGATCTGAGGTGTTTAGTCTATTTAATTTATGACTTTGTAAAACAATTTCTTCGGGTTTTAAAGTGTGAAGTAAAATCCAAGCCGATCCCGTTCATCTTGTTTACCTTTGTTGCCTGCCAACATGACGTCCGGAGCTCTATAACTTTGGTTTTATACTTGGAGACATTTCTGTCAGATAAAAGTTCAAGAAAAAAGCATGATAACAGTTTTATTCTATTTCAGAAGCAGCTAAATCCATTTAAAACGAGCTAATATTTAATCTTCATTAAAACGAGCAAAAAGGCCCTCAGTGCTAATATGTTCTTGTCTTGGTTCTCCCCCAGCTCCCATCTTGATGCATGCTTTTATTACTAAGTATTTTCTGTTTATGACCCTCCAACAAAAGCTTACCAGCCTCAGCTACAAGGATTGTACTGAAAACTCATTTATTTATCTAAAATGCTTAGTTTTGCTGCAGGTTTAAGCGGAAATGGTGCATGTTTCATTCATGTTTGTCTAACTATCATAAGCTCACATTAATATTCTACTTGTTTTCTCACGGTGCTTAAATTCGTGTATATTTATTAATAATAATAATAATAAGAAGAAGAAGAATAAAGCCCTTTATTGTCCCTCATTGGGGAAATTCTGGTGCACCAGCAGCAAAGCTACAGGTAAGTTAAGAAAACAACTGATTCACACAAATATACAGTATATATATATATATATATATATATATATATATATATATATATATATATATATATATATATATATATGTATATATATATGTATGTATATAAATGGAAAGAAAAATAAGAATAGAATAGAGATAGTAAATTATTTACAGCACAGGATGTAGCAATGACACAATTATATAAGATGTTGTAATAGCAGCATGAGACTAGAGATGGAATAATGCACAATCGTCCAATGTTGGACTCAGATTCTGTGCTACGGAGGCAAAAACTCCGTAACTGGAAATGTAAAACTTATAACTGAAGCAAGTGGAATTAAATCTGTTTTAAAGAAGTTTTGCTAATAGAGATTTTTTTTAGTTATTTCATAAAGACTTTTGATCCCCAAGACAGCGTATTAAGAGTCACTAAGAAGAAAAATAAGGCAAAACATGAGTTCATGTGACCATAGATGTTTGTCTCGATGGCAGAAATGCACAGTTTTAACTGAGTAGATTAAAGAAGATTTAATTCTACTAATAGAACATTATCTTTGTAACACTTTCTAATAAGGTTAAACTAATTCATATCAGGCCTGAAAACTAGAGCGTAAACATCTTCAAATGATCTGAAACATTACGTTCCTGTTGGTTTAACCTAAAGTGTTCACCGTTTAAAAAATGCACATTTTAGAGTAGAATTATTCATGCTAATCAGAAAAACAAATAAATGACAGCTCGTCACGAACAGGATTCGAACCTGTGCGGGGAAACCCCATTGGATTTCGAGTCCAACGCCTTAACCTCTCGGCCACCGTGACTACGCTTGCCATACTACGTCATTACGTAAGTATATATAAATAGAAATTTCGGACTGCTCAATTAAAATTTGCAGTGTGACATGTGCGCTGTTAATTCCAGAATTAAACTAATCACCTTCCTATACCGTTGTGCATAATTAATTAACCTCTTGTGTACGTGAACAAAGCTCGTATATGGTCACGTGCTGCAACCGCACTTTTTCAAACGACTTTGCTACAAGAAGTAATGTTTACACTTTTCACCACACGACCCAAAATCTTTAGCTTCTTCTCTTACCTTTGTTTTGTCAGCATGTTGTAATTAATGCAACGTAAAAACGCTGAAAATGCAACAGGCTTCGAGGTGCAGAAATCCGATACACCTCCTGCCGCTGGTGGAGTTGCATTCAGGGTCAGCTTGGGAAATATGCAGAAACTAATCTTCAAATGAAAATTTGGTTTAAAATTTTCAACTTAAGCTATTCTAGCATTGATCTTTTTGATATTGTGTATTCCTGCTGAGTTTGAGGTATTTGATCGTCTATTTACTTAGTTGTGTCTTCTTGAATCCAAAGTTCTCAGTGGACCTTCACTTTTCTTTTTTCCATGAATGTATCACCGATTACGTGGACAAATCCTACGTTTCTATTAGCCCGTCAGTATAAGCCCCACCCACTCCTGACGAGCAATAATAGCCCTTTAATTACACGTTTAGCAACGAGAACGTTAGCTTTACAGCAAAGATGATAAACTGGAAGGTAAATATAAGGAAGCCTGTTATTCTTTTGTTATCCGGTAGTGTTTTTTGTTATTTTAAAGCTTTCTGTTTCCCATGTTGTGTCGTAATGTCACTAGCATCATGCTAGTTTCTCCTTAGCATCTCCTTTCTAGCTTCACGTAAATACTTGTAGCACATAAACATGAACACGTGCTTATTTTGACAGCTTAATGTGTGGAGCCGCTTTGGTGTGAGCTGCTGTAAGTAAAAGGTTGAGAATAACTACCAGAGCAGCCCTAAAGGTTCAACTGAATGTTTTAGAAAAGGTCATAAACTGAACTGCGAGCACGCCGAACTTTAAAGTGGTGTGTAGCACTAAGGTCTCGTGTTTTTTATATTTTATTGTAGTTAAAAATGCACACTTTTTTTTAATTGCAAGTTTTGTGAGTCCAGTTTGGCACATGCGTAAAATACCTGTGGCTTTGGATTTACATGGAGTGCAGCTGCCACACACACACACACACACACACACACACACACACACACACACACACACACACACACACACACACACACACACACACACACACACACACACACACACACACACACAGTGACCAAATTAGCTTCCACCTCCCCCGATGGACAGCTGAGGAGGACAGAAACATCTCCCGGGTCCCGAACTGTTCCAGTTTCTTTCCTCTCATGATGTGAAATCAAATGCAGAAAAATTCCGTGTTTTTATCTGTGGAGATGCTGAAAAGTTTGATTTGTTCCCAGGCTTTGGAAAATGTCCCCCTCCTGTTTTACATCCTGGCCCTGAAGACGCTGCTGCTGTGCCTGGCCTTTGCGGGGGTGAAGATCTACCAGAGCAGGAAAGCAGAGCAGGTCCTGAAGATGCAGCAGGCTGAGAGGAGGAGGCTGGCCCAGCAGACACAGGAGCTCATCGACAACCTGAAGGAGGACTAAGGAGGACGTAGTCGGGTTACGGGTACGTTTAGCTCTTCTTTGCATATTTGGTTATTTAATGGTTTCCCTGAACCATGTACCATCTCTAATGTCTCTTTTCCTCTCTTTTCTTCTGATCAGAGCAACTTTATCCCAAAGCGACAGATCTCGGACTACCGAGCTTCAGGAGACCGATGATGGCTCCAGCACTGGGAAGTCTGAACCACCATGTTAGTTTTATACCTTATGTAAATGTTTGATACATTTTCAAAGAAGGAGTCACACAAACTCGTGGAGGAAGACCAGGACTCGACCACAGAAAACCTCAGAATCATCGAAACTCCCAACCTTCACCTGATTTGACCAGATTCACACAGAGTTTATGAAAACCAGTAAAAGGCTTGTAAAAGCTTCAAAACGGAGTTTATCATGGAAGAACGTTTTCTATGAAGAAGCTTGCAGCTTTTTTATCATTTATAATAAACTGTTTTCTACAGGCAACAGTGTTTATTCCTAAAATACCTTCTGTGATCAAGTGTTTTATTATTGTACAAGTTAGCAGAAGAGTTCCCGACAGGTCCCAGCATTCCTAAAAGCTCTTCCTAACATTCCTGACTGCAATTCCTAATATGGCAAATGAGATGAATATGACTTAAATGCCTGTGGGCGGTTTGATTACCCACAGTTAGCTAAGGTCGTGGACCGCAGATGGACTTATATTAAAATCATTTTATTCGGGCCTCAGCGAGACACATAAGCTAACAGGCAGAGTGCTTGGGAGCAGTCGTCAGCCTGTTCTAAATGAAAACATGCAAAACACACTGAATAAAAAGAAAATAAACACAAACGAGTTAACTGAATCGTTCACAGGAAACTAATAAATCCCACCGACAAACCCGGCCCTGAACCCCACTGAGGGTAAGTATGTTTCACGCTGATGTCGGCATCAGGAACGTGCCGAGTCAGTGAGCCAGAGCTTCTTCAAACCCGTCCTCGGAGCAGGACCAGTGGGGTCAAACACGAGTCAAAACAGCAGCGTGTCCCAGTGCGCCATCGCCTAAAAGACGCACACACACACACACCTTACTGGTGTATTGCTTCCCAATACTAACAGCACGACTTAACAAGTCCTAACAATTCTAAAATCAAGTCCTAACAGCAAGTCTTAACAAGTCCTGACAATTCTAAAATCAAGTCCCAACAGCAAGTCCTAACAATCCTAACGTGAAAGTTTCTTCTCTTTCCTGGCACCAGAGGGCGCTGCTCCTCCATGAGTGAAACTCCAACTTTCTGATTGGGGAGAGAGTTCCAGAGTCTGGGGGGCCACAGCAGCAGATGATCTGTCACCTTTGGTCTTTAGCCTGGTGCTACACAACCAGTAGGCTTTGGTCACTGGACCTCAGGGACCTGCTGGGGATTTAGGGACTGAGAAGATCACCAATGTAAGATGGTGCTTGTCCATGTAAGTCCCTAAAGACCAAATGGAGACCACTGAGCTTAACCCTGAGCTGCTGTCCTCAGGTTTCACTTATGGGGTGTTGCAGCATAGTATCTGCACTCTGCTGTTAATGGTGTGTGTTAGTGATGGCCAGGCGATACGGAGACTCCAAAGCTTGCTTTGTCTAACTGAAGCAATGCGTTATAGAGGGGGAATCTTTAGTGCGATTCAGTTGATGATAAAGCATAAAAGTGCAATAGCACAGAGTTTGTGTGTTGGTGTGTTTTGGTTGGGGTGGATTAAGTTTGTGAGAGTTGTTAATTTGAGATTTCCCCATGGCAAGTGTTCCTGGAACAAGCAAGAGGCACGCTTCTGATGCTTTGGGAGCATTTTGATCATCATCAGTAGGTTGAGCAACTGCTTTCTATTAAAGTGGTAATGTTTAAAATAATACAATATTATATTTTCTATCAACCAGGTTCGCTGCTTGCTGTGTTCTAAACATCTATCTCATAGCAATAACACTTCATCAATGTGGAGACCCTTGGGGAGTGATTTACATGCCCACGACACAACACTGCCTGGAACTGGAACTTCTCCAGAGAATGCTCAAGATGAAGTCAGTGAGCTAGGTGTTGTCGACGTGTGTTTGTGAAAACTAAACAGTCGTTCTTCAAACACCAGTAGGCTAAGTGTCTAGGAAACTATTCGTGTGAATAGCTGGTTTACAGACAGACATTATCCTTTCACCTCAGAAGAGTACGTATTGATGAATGACTGCCATGCCATGCTGAAGCCAATCCACCAAGCCACACTGGAGGTTTCTGAAGAAACAAGGGTGCCATGTTCAAAAGTAATACCACTCATCCGGATGCTAAAATACAACGTAGCGACCAAGTGTTCACAAAGTATCCATCCCGTGGCTAAATCCTTCCCTCATCATTTACACAGTAATTTAAGCCTTCCAACACTCATGGATCCACGATTCAAGGACGAAACCTTCTGCTCTGCTACAACCGCCCAAGAAGCAACCAGAAGACTCACTAGGAAAGGTGTCAACATCACTGAGGCAACAACTGGTGATTCCACCCAGTCGGCTGCAGAGCCAGGCGTCTCAGGTGAAAATGCAGACGATTTCTGGAGCCTACATGATCGGGAAAGGAGAGCAGCAAGTGACCAGTGCCACTGCCAGTGCAAGCATTGAGGTTCAGAGGTATGGATCTTTGTGCGTTTACTGGAATGTGTAACAAAATGAGTATAATGTCTAAATGTTTTACATTATTTTCTGTTTGTCTAGATATTTGAAGGAACAACGTCTTCCTAGGTCAGAGGACCCATTAACATACCGGACCAACCACAAGGACCTGTATCCATACCTGTATAAGTTGGCCATGCACCGTACACCTGCGTCGTCTGGACCGTGTGAGAGCCGCTTTTCCAGGGCAGGAGAAATTGTTAATCGAAGGAGAAGCCGTCTGAAGCCAAACATTGTGGAGCAAATTCAGTTTCTAAATAAAAACTTGTAATATTTTCTAATCAGGTAATCATCTGTGTCACAAAACACTTTCACTGAACACGTACAACACACGGCCTTTTGTTGGATTGCACAAGCATGATTCTGTAATTTACTACACCTAAAAAGGACACATGCACACAATGTCAACAGAAAAGGCGTTCACAAAACAGGTAATACACAGAAAAAGCACTTTATTGGATTATAGAAGTGCTGGATGAAAAAGAAGAAGCATGAATCCTTCTGAAAATGCTGTTAGGAGGTTCCACTGTCTCATCTACATCCTACCCGGGCTTGAGTTAGTGTTTTCTTTTTAGTTCTGACAACATGATCTGGTGGTTGTCATCCTCTTTAGCTGTAGGACAAATATCTACTAGACTAATAAATAGGATCCGTTCATTTCTAGTGGATCTGTTGTCCTTTTAGGTAAAGCAGCTGTTACAGCCTGTTGGAGATATCTGACAATGTGTGTTTTACTTCTTATTCTTTAGTTTTATGAGACGTTTCACTCAGATTAACGTTGACTTTGCTACTAAGTGTTGGTTCTAGATCTTAGCAACGAGCTTTATGCTTCCTGCTTTGTTTCTTCTTGCGGGCAGCAGTAGCTCAGGTGGTACAGCGGGCTGCCTCATGATCGGAGGGTCATGGAATCGATTCCAGCTCCCGCCAGGGGTTTCCTGCTGTTGTGTCCTTGGGCAAGACACTTCACCCAACTTGCCTGTGTTAGTGGTGGTCAGAGGGGCCAACAGCAACAAATGGCAGCCTCGCCTCTGTCAGACCTCCCCAGGGCGGATGTGGCTACAAGTAGCTTATCATCACTAGCAGTGTGTGAATGTGAGAGTGTGTGAAAGCGTCTTTGGGTGTCTAGAAAAGCACTATATAAGTTCAATGCATTATTATTATTATTCTTATTGTCATCAGAATTAGAAGCTTGAATGACTGAGCCAATGGCTGAAAAGGCTCCATCAGCTGTTTCATTTGGTGGTGGGGGCATCCAGTAGCAGCTGAGATGCTGATCTCAGCGCTCTGACTGGATCATGATGCTGCAGCTAATCAGACACATTTTATTTCCTTGAAGAGTCTGAAACCTCCTGAACGGAATGATGAAACTAACAGGAAGCCAGTGTAAAGAGGCCATGCAGGAGTGATGTGGTGGTGCCATCTCCTACCCGTCTACATCTGCAGGCGAGGTTCAACAGAGTTCTTTCTCCTTCAGAAACTAAAGGACATGAAGTTTCTGACTGAAGGTTTTCCATCTATGGATGCGAGATTTAACGAGGAATCAGGTCCAGTTGATCAGAAAGATGCATCAGGGTCTCTGCTATTAAAATGTGTGCAGCCACACAACATTTTCATGGTGCAGAGAAACATCTGAGAGGATGCTGTTAGAGATGAAATCAGCTCCATCTTTCCATCGTTGGTGTGAAAACACACAGAGGCAGAACCAATGGGAGCAGGTCTCTGAGCAAAGGCCATGTGACTTTGGATTTTCAAAGTAAGACTTTTACTGGATCAAGGCTCTGAAAGAACTTCAGAGAAACGTCCTTCAGCTTGTTAGAGAGGAAACGTTTGTGAGGCAAAGAGGCACGTTGACTTCTTGTGAGGTGAATATATCTTGAAGTTGGTTTTATTACAGCACCACCATCAAACTAAAACACAATAAATTCAAAAAGATAAAACAGGAAAATATATTTGAAATGATATAAATATAACATAAAACACACCTCGCTGGGTGACACAGAAATGAAAACCTCAGGTTGCTCTCTTGAACTTTCTTTACCCTCAAATTTTCACAATAAATGTCTGAATAAGAAATAAGGATATGGATAATGCCAAACATATTCAACTAAAAACATGGCAGGAAACGCATCCCTGTCTGGAACCACTGACTGAACAAAGATAAACAATAAATATGTAAAAATTACAAGGATAACATGCTTTGTGTGTTCTGTGGACTCTCATGCGTCTATTGAAACTTGACTTTACACAAAATCTTTGTCGACAGAGCTGACAACCAAAAGGCTTCTGTCCTACACCCTACCTGTGATTGTTTAATGTTGCCTTTGATTGTGCAGAGCACCAGGCTAACAACTAAAGGTGACGGATCATTTGCTGCTGTGGCAAAAAGGTTTTGTTCTTGTGAAGCACCTAATGATTTTTATCTTCAGAGGCATTTTAAAAAAGATCATTTCTTCTTCTGGAAATTTTTTTTGTCCACAGGGCTTACAGGCAAAATGTTTTCCTCTTGTGGGGACTCTGATGTGTCTGTTTAAACTTGGCTTTCTATATCTTTGTCCACAGAGTTCACACGCAAAGGTTTTGTCCAGTGTGGACTCTCATGTGATTGTTTAAAATGGTCTTTTGCCTGAAACTTTTTTCACAAAGTTCACAGACAAAAGGTTTCTGTCCTGTGTGGACTCTCAAGTGAGTGTTTAAATGTGCCTTTTGTCTAAATTTTTTTTCACAGAACTCACAGGGAAAAGGTTTTTCTCCTGTGTGGACTCTCACATGAATTTTTAAACTTGTCCTATGACTAAATATTTGTGCACAGAGTTCACAAGCAAAAGGTTTCTGTCCTGTGTGGACTGCCATGTGACTGTTTAGATTTGTCTTATGACTAAATCTTTGTCCGCATGATTCACAGGCAAAAGGCTTCAGTCCTGTGTGGACTCTCATGTGACTGTTTAAATTTGTCTTTTGACCAAATTCTTGTCCACATAGTTCACAGGCAAAAGGTTTCTGTCCTGTGTGGAGTTTAATGTGTTTGTTTAAACTTGTCTTATGACTAAATTTATGTCCACAGATATTACAGGCAAAAGGTTTCTGTCCTGTGTGGACTCTCAAATGAGTGTTTAGATGTACCTTTTGGGTAAATCTTTTTTCACAGAGGTCACAGGCAAAAGGTTTCTGTCCTGTGTGGACTCTCATATGTCTGTTTAAATTCACCTTTTGACCAAATTCTTGTCCACATAGTTCACAGGCAAAAGGTTTCTGTCCTGTGTGGACTGTCATGTGACTGTTTAGATTTGTCTTATGACTAAATCTTTGTCCACATGATTCACAGGCAAAAGGCTTCAGTCCTGTGTGGACTCTCATGTGACTGTTTAAATTTGTCTTTTGACCAAATTCTTGTCCACATAGTTCACAGGCAAAAGGTTTCTGTCCTGTGTGGAGTTTAATGTGTCTGTTTAAACCTTTCTTATGACTAAGTATTTTTCCACAGACATCACAACTAAATGACTTTGGTTCTTTCTGGACTGTCTTACACGGGTCTACTAGTTGCTTCACTCCAACACATTTCTTTTTAACCAAACAAACAGAAGACCTTATTGCTGAATGACTTGTCACTCTCAGATGTTGCTGGAGAGACTCCTTGTGGAGAAACTGTTTACTGCACTCAAGGCAGCTAAAGGATTTGTTGACGATCTTAACATTTGGCTCAGAACACCTGCTTTCATTCCAGTCATCGTCTTCATCTCCAGTTTCAGGCCCAGAATTTGATAGCTCAGCATCTAGATTCACATCATCATCATCATCATCCTCTTCATCATCTCCACTAACTTCAGTCTCTGAAGAACTGGATGTCTGTTCATGACGGTTCATATATGGGATGTTTGTAGTTTCTGCTGTAATCTGGTCAGCTGAGCTTCTTGTTAAAACATCTCTGTCATCCACTTGCTGCTGATATTGAAGCTGTGAGAAAAGAGGCTTCTCTTCATCATCCTCACTCTTCGTAGGAACTGCTGTGAATAGAAACCTGGCAGCATCAGTCTCCTCCTTCAAGTGGAGCTGTTCTCCCTCCAGACCGGTCCAGAGTTCCTCCTTTTCCTCCTTTATGTGGAGGTGTTCTGGGTCCTGCTGGTCCACACCAGGAACTTCTTCTTTAACTAGAACCACCTGTTGAACATCTGTAGGAACAAACAAATGATGTGAATTAACCATCGCTGTAACTCCATATTCACACATATAATAATAAACAGTTTTATCAAGTTGGTGAGATCAGACTAGACTCAAAATCTTAAATTTAGTTTAAACAATTATTGCACATGTTCTGTAAGTACTATAAACGTTCTTTCACTTTTCAAATATCACAAGTCTTGTGCTTTATAAAAATAAGCTTCGACAAGCTAGAACTGTACATTTTCATCACTAATTGAGGAGAATAAGAATAATCCTAAATTTCTTTTCAGTACAGTTGCCGAACTTAAACTGAATCATAGCTCTAAACTAGTGGTCCGCAAGTGGCGGCCCGCGGGCCCTCTCTTTGTGGCCCCCAAACCCTGTGCGCATCCCCCACCCCCACACGGCCGACCGGGAGGTGTAGGATGGATCAAGCTGAGGAAAATAATCAAATACTCAATGCATGAGATGCAGACATAAACGGTTCTGCATCATAGAAGAGTACCATAATCAATTATAGTGGAATGTAGTTTTGTTATTTTAACGGCGGCACCAGCGCAGCATCCACATCTGTCAGAGCGGTGTTGTCCACATTTACCAGGTAGGAAACTTTGGTCCACCTTTATGTGGTACTGCAGGGCTGAGCGCTGGAGTTGTAACCTGAGACCGAACCCAATCAGCCCGATCGGTTCTGTTGGATTTGGGCCGTGAATTATAATTGAGAACCCCTGCTCTAAACCATCTATTTCCTTAGCTCTCAGCAGCAACGACTTCATGGGATTTTTCATGAGTAAAATTTTATTTTATTAGAAACAAAATCATTAGCATCCTCCCTAATGCGATTTCTTCTTCCTCAGTGAGGCAGCATCTGAGATAACCGCATGATCACATCTCTCCAGCGCTTGATTCCCTTCACTGGCTGCCAGTGTATTACAGAATTCAGTTTAAATTGTTGCTTTTTGTTTATAAATCACTTTATGGTCTGGCCCCTCCTTATATAGATGATTTATTGTCACCCTACACTCCTGCCAGGAATCTGCGGTCGGGCTCACAGTTTTTATTATCAGTTTTAAAGGCTGGCCTAAAGACGAGAGGAGACAGGGCTTTTTCTGTGGCGGGCCCTACACTCTGGAACAGTCTTCCTCTGCAGATCAGGACCTCTCAAAGTCTGGATGTATTTAAGTCCTTGCTTGAAACTCATTTATTCAGCCTGGCTTTTATGTAGGATGATTTTATTTTTGTCGTTGTCATTCTTTCTCCTTTTTATTGATTTTATAATTGTGTGATGTAATGTTGTTTTTATCCTAACTTGCTAATTTTAATGGTTTTATGTTTTTTTGTTGTACTTGTTTGCGATTTTATCTTCTGTGTTGTACAGCACTTTGGGTTGCGGAAGCAATAATAAGTGTGCTTTAGAAATAAATGTGACCTAGAACCTCATCTGTGTTGATCCAGTTGAGCTTCTAGAGTTATCAAAAATATTAGCTTCATCTAAACCTTCAACTTGCATTTTAGATCCAATCCCAATCAGATTATTTAAAAATGCATTTCCTTTGGTTACTGTCCCCCTTCTAGATATAATCAATCTATCCTTATTTAAACGTACCAGCAGAGTCACACTGGTGTTTGAAAGAGCAACATGGAAACATGCAAGACAGTGGTCCCCAGAGGACCAGGGTTGGGAAACACTGACCTACAACAAGGTAAATGTGGCTTTACATTTTACTACCCCTTTAACGTTTTCATGTGTTTGTGCAGCACACGCACACACGCGCGTGCGTGCGCACGCACGCGCGCGCGCACACACACACCTGCATCCATGCTGTCCAGATCCAGATGGTGAAGTAAACACGATGAAGCAGTCCCAGCTGATGGATGATCCTGAAGTGGTAGCAGGTTTTCTTTAGCCGTGTTTAGCTAACAGCTGCAATAGAAACAAAGCAGGAGAGCTGATTAACATGCTGCTTCAGAACAACGCAGGAGATTAAAGATCCAACGCTTTGGTTCTGATCAGCTGAGGACAGATCCAGTCTGGAAAAGAGGACCTTTGGTCACCAGAGTTCAAAGAGCTAACCGCTTTTTCCTCCAGAGTCACATTCAGATTCGGGGCTTTTCCGTCGGAGAGTGTGAGCAGGATGGATCAGAGAGCGAGCAGCGGTCCTGCATCATGACCAACTCAGATGACCGAGTCTGATAGAGGGAACCTCTTCAGTGTGATGAAAGCAGCAAAACGAGCGCGTTTCTCAGAGAGGCCAAAGGAACAGCAGCAGATCCAGAGGGCAGGAAGTCTAGAGAAAAGCTTTTCTGACCCATCACCTGATTTTGGAGCTTTAGAGTTGGTAACAACGTGAGGTGCGTTACCGCCACCTACCGGCTGGAGGGTAAACAGCTATCCCTCTAAACCAGGGCCAGAATGAAAAACTGAGGACGTCGTGGGTAAAAACGTGGGTATATATGTCGATGGTAAAAGCCAAGCCCCCACAACGGAGCTCTAAAATTGCAATAATACCTAGCTGCAGACCACGCAGCCCTGACAAACCACGTCCCCAACAAAACACGCCCCTTGGCCGCTACAAAAGACGCCTGCATGTTCGAAGACAAGAGCGCTGGCACATTTACATGTATTATAGTTTTTTTGACAAGTATTTGCGTGTATAGCATCCAGTAAATAGTAGTCTGACGGTAACGTTTCGTATTCAGGATAAAAAGAAAAAGAAAACATGAAAGCAGCACCATGGTCAGTGAGGACCTTACTCCTGCCTGTTTGAAAATAGGTCACCACTTTCAGGGATGGAATGATTCTGACACGGCAGCAGTCCCACAATTATCAGTTGTTGTATTTAGCTTTTCCAATGTGTTTTGGTTGATTTGTTGATTTTAAAAAGCAGAAAGTTTGATATGTTGTCAACTTTCAATGGTGGTGGTATAATAAGTGCAAATGTCAATACTCTTTGGATAACTGTAAAACAAACTGATACAATCATTTGCTTTCCTCTGAGTCCACAGGACGCCGACCATGTGTATGCTAAGACACCTTACGGCTTTCCACCCAGAGAGCAGGTGAATATGAGTGAAGATTATTGCATGACAACAAAATAAAATTAATTTTAACTGCAGCGCATGAAGTCATGTTTTTGTGTGTCTTGATTAAGGACAATGACGGCATGGACCAACACAACGTGGTCACCAAAACCAGAGATGTTGGGATCCTGAGTAAAGACATGTCTTACGACAGGCTTGTGGTAAGGACATGCAAAGGACCAAGAATCAACTTATCTTATTTAATCTGCTTAACCAGAATAATTCTGTTCAGCATCTAAATGGTTTTTGATCTAATTTTAGGGAAGGGCTCAGCAAGCTGAAGACCAAAGAAGAGTCAGCAGTGATCTCATATCATTTATCACCCAGGATAAAGGCCTGCTGCTACATCTGGAAGTGAGTTTTAAATTTATAATTAAATTTGCACACTGTAACTAATTTCAGTCAAAACATGACTTATGAATTATTCAAGTGAAACATTTTCTGCTAACCTAGTGTTTGGACATTTACTTTGAGCATCCTCCAAATATCTCTATTTACAGGCAATCATCACAGGAAAAGTGTCATCCACCTGAGCAGGGTGGACATTTTCTTTGAGGAGGTTGAGCAGCTGGACAAAGTGATGGGCTCCTTGACAAGCCTGGTTGAAGCACAGACAACCAGATGTCACAATCAAGTGGCATTCATTATGGATGTGCTTCTGCCACAGGTACATTCTGAAAATGTTTATGTATCACATGAAAATATTTTGTAGTGTTGTAGATTCTCTCTACGACAGACGAAAGTTCTGATTGGTTGAAAATAATGTGTCATGCGTTTCCATGGTAATGTATATCAGTCTGTCTGGTGCAGCCCTGTTTATTCATTTAAACACATAACTCATGACATCTTTATTTCACAGATCATTCACCTGATTATTAATGATCAACAAATGCTTTGATTAGCTTATCACAAATAAAGTACTTTGATTAATCAATGAAAAGCGTTCTTCTTCTGTTCTTCTGTCTCTTCTCCTGGAATGTAAACATAATGAACCAAGCGTCTGACCTTGGCGATGTTACTGTGTGAAGGGGCAGCTGTTAAGGGCAGACCATTATAAACTTCCTAACGCTACAGTAGCATTACTGTTAGTATATAACTCATGGTTAATATCTTGTTACCTGCAACATGACAGACTGTCTACATGAAAGATGTCCTTTTGTTCACGTCATTACTCAGGCAACCATCCATGCGCTTTCAGCTGTCCATGAATGTTGACCGGACAAAGCCACAGAAATGTACAGCAGTGGGCTGCAGTGTGACTGGAGGTATTCTACAAACACAAGAACAGTGCTAATGCCTATATGTATTGTTTTCACATTGTTTATGACAGCCTCTAGGTGTGAATGTCATTTTTACTAATTGCTATTTATCTTTGTCTCATTAGTGAGAGGCAGCTGATGTCCTATGCCATGGAAAAAAAACATGAGCAAGGAGGCTAAACAGAAACTGCTCATATACACGGAGAAATTCAGAAAAGCTCTGGACTCATCTGAATTTTTGAAGAGGCTGTCGTATTGTGTTGACATTTTTTTTGGAAGGTATTTGTAAGGCCAATAAAAGTTGTCGCTGGTTATTTCATTTGTCTGAACTTTTTTCTAAAGCAAAACGTTTCTGCTTTTGTGTTTACAGCATAATTTTTAAAGATTAGTGTATGGTCAATATCAGTTTACTAGTCTTGTGAATTGTATACATAATTCAAAATATTTTAGTAATTTCTAAATAATACATTTTGTGTCAAAGGGCCAGCAATTATTCCTGTTAACAGAATATATGAAATGCATATATACACATGTAAATATGCCTAAAAATTACACATAAGCAGCTTTTCACTGTAAAGAAGCAATAAAAAATCATAAATAGTAACATAAATGTTAACTACTCACTCGTATTGACTTAGACCCACAGTTAGTGCCTGTAATAACAAATGGTTGAAAGTTAAATGTTGCTTTAGGAGGCGTGCTCCCAAAAATGGAGCTGGACCTGACTCTTGTTGTTGTGAGCTCCCAGCTTACATCCGTGTCCCCTTCCATTGGCGCAGTTCTCGCGCGCATCATTGTTAGCTCCGCCCAGTGACCGCCCACTGACCTCTCGCTTGGATTTCATCGACAGGTATGCCTCGTGTCTACGTTGCTCTTTAATAATTAAATGGTTTAAAGTGCAATTTTAGCGTGAACAGTGAATAGAGCATGTGCAGGAAGTTCTCTTAAAGCAAAGCAACGGTTTTTAGCCACTAGAGGTTGTCATTTTGTAGTCTTTGTCATGTTAAAGTTGTAGTTCCTTGTAATATGCTCAACAGACTGATAAAATAGACCTTTTCTCACAGTAACCCCGGGTTTCCACGGGAGCCGTCAGCAGCACGTTACTGCAGCAGCACGTCTTGCTCGCGTAAGCTGCTGCTTGGCCCTTCCCACGAGACGCGAAGCAGCAGGGGGGCAGCTGTCACCGACAGAGCACGAAGTCACACGAGTGACTTCGTCAGTAAACACAACAACAAGCAGGAGAAAATTACAACATGGTTTGTGTTTTATGTTCTGTCCGTTTTATAATCGCCAATACGGACCTGAAAAACAAAGGAGACTGCTAGCTAGGTGATAACTTCTCACGGGGCCGCACAGTTAGTAACTTTTTTAAAAGTAAAGCAACCGGAAAGCAGTACGTTCTTTATTCTGAAAATCTCGGGTGCTTCTCTCCATTTCCGCGTCCGATTTCCTGTCTTTCCTTCCCCAAACATGTCTAAATTGACCCGTTTCAGAGGCGTCGCGCGTAGGAAATAGAACCGGCGCGTAAAGGCCGCGACATGCTGCTCCTGAGACGCGGCCGACTCGCACTGCTGACGGCTGCTGACGGCGCCTGTGGAAAGCCGGGGTAAAATCAGTGCAAATAAATCTCATTTAATAAAATAGGAAGAATTTAGCCGCACAACACACAGATAAACTACAGGTTTTATAAATATAAATAACTACAATACATAACATTTCAAAAAGTGTTAGAAGTTTTTAATAAGCTGAACAGACAGTGACAAAAGACATTTTATGACATAGACATTTTAGGATAATAAAAAACATGTAATAACAGCAATTGCTGTCATGCCACCTGTGTCTTTTACACATGTTGATGCAGGAGTCATACTGAAAGTGCACATTTATCTATGCAGGCATTAAAAATGATGGACTTTGCAGGCAAACCAAGCTGTTTAGTGTATTTCTGGACTAGTGTAGCTGTTACACTGTGTTATTACATTTATGACAGCTTGACATGAGCACACACCAGTATTTACACAGGATTTGGTGTGGAACAAAGCATTTATTGGACAAGGACACTTCTGTGACTGTGTGGCTTCACACAAGGGTCAAAAATTAACACTTTCTTCTATTTCCCTTCCTTAGATACACTGACAACTGACATCATGACGTCCAAGTATGTCAAGTGCCCCATCTGTGGCCGACCTTTCGCGGCGCTTTCACATCACCTGAAAAGGTCCCACAAGGTGGTGCACCCAGAAGAGCGTCAGCTTCTTTTGAAGCTGGCAAGTAAGAGGGTTTTTTACCGGTACGAGGCCTGCCCCGTCCCTGGCTGCCGGTACCACTCCTCCAGGTGTGACAAACACCTGGAAACCTGCCACCCTGAGCTCACTAAGGAGCAGATGGAACGTGTCGTACAGTCGGTTCAGAGAAAGGTCACCGTCCGCTGGCTGGCAGCCCTCAGGGCCACTGCCCCTCACCCTCCCATGGTGAGCCAGCTGGACCAGGAGGACGACACTGACATCTGGCCTGATGAGGATGCAGAACCGCAGGCCAACTGTCAGGGTTGCATCACCCTCCAGCGGAAGTACGAGGGTGTCAAGCTGCAGCTGGACAACCTCCGAAAGACCTTCCGCCTGTACCACCGGAGGGTGGCCAAGTTTGAGAGGAGGACTGGGAGTGTGAGTTACACATGCCTATAAATTCGATTTAAGTCATGAAATAATACTCAGCAAGCACGTGATCAAGTTGCTCATTTAAACCACGTGTTTTATCATTTAATTTTTTCTGATGGTCTGTGTACAGCACTTTGTGCTGTCTCTGACTGCTGGAAATGTGCTATATAATAAACTGGACAGTGACATTGACATGTAATAATCATTTTGATTCTTTTTCTTTTCTTTTTAAGAAAATAACCAAAAACCTCCCTCTTCCGGAGGAGCAGGTTCACGTCCGTCCGTCCACGTCACGTGGACCGAAGCAGCGGCCGGGAGGACGTTCGGATGCAGCTGTGAGACGCCCGCCCTCCAAGCAGGCTGGAGAACCGCGGTCCGGACGGACTAAGGAAAGACAGGCCAGAAGAAGGGTGGCCACCCCATCACCACCTTCCTCGCCAACATCATCTTCCTCAGCACCCTCCTCCACTTCACCACCACCCTCCCGCCAATCGCCACCACCATCACCACCCTGGCAATTATCACCATCACCACCCTGGCAATTATCACCATCACCCTCCCCACCACCACCACCATCACCACCCTGGCAATTATCACCATCACCACCCTGGCAATTATCACCATCACCTTCCCCACCACCATCACCGTCCCGCCACCCATCCAAACATAAAACGCCCCCGGTTTCTTTGGAGTCAGAGAAAAGACTGGCCGGCAGCGTGGCCCCCTCCTCTGGCCGGAGGGAAGGACCGGACTCTCCTCCGCCGGCCAAGAGGATCCATAAAACACGCCACACCGGTGGCAGCCCGTCACCAGAGGAGTCCCCCGAGGAGTCCCAGCCGCCACGCAAGGGGGGAAAGACACCTCGCCAGAGTCCCGCCTCGCTGCTGTCAGGCTTCTCCTCAGCAATGGGTTAGTTTTCATATGTCTGTTTACCTCACGTCTTGATGAATGTTCTTCCCAAGGATTCATACTTCTTAACTGCTATGTGAACATTTCTCCACAGAAGATTACCTGGACGACTATCGGACTTTCCTCCGAGGGTTACACCAGTCCAAAAAACATATAGACAACGTGGCCTCCAAGGTCATGAGGATCAGGAGGTTCCTTAACTTCATGGCGGTGGGGGCCCTTCGGCTGTGGGACTGGAGCTTCCTGACACGGACGGAGCGCATCATGGAGTAAGTGTACATCACCTGCAGTTAGCCAAAATCACATAGAAAAACAAAAGTGTTGAGCTATTTTTGTTATGTTCTCTTCAGGTGGGTTGGTCACCTAAAGAGGTGCGGGAAGAAGGTGACCACCGTCACCTTCTACCTCAGGAACGTTTATTCCTTCTTCCGCTACTTTAAAGAAACACCGCCACGTAATTGCCGGCTGAAGGGGTCGCAGATTACGGCAGTGCTGCGTTCCATTTTGCAGTGCATCTCTCCTCTCCTAAGAGACGTGGGCATGCACCAGATGAAGGTGAAGGAGGCCAAGCAGATGCGGGTCATCTCCGTGGCCGACCTCAACCTCTGCCAGCAGCGCTGCCGTGAAGCTATTCCTCAGCTGCTGGGTAAGAATCGGTGATGTTGGTGTTTACGCTTCGGAGGATGTAACGATGGGTGACAGGTTCTGTCGAGCGGAGATGTTAAACAGAGCTCACTTGTGTTTGATCTTCACAGAACGTCTGGAGAAGGAACCGACGGACCACAAAGTCCGCTACCGGTTCTTCGGGTTCTTGGCGGCATTCATCTCCTCAATCTACGGCCACAGGACGGGCGTCATCTCCAACATGACGGTGAAGGAGGTGACGAATGCCCGCAAGAAGGCCAAAGAGGATAGCCCCGGCTTTGTCATCAACGTGAGTAGAAAAACACTCCTTTGTCTTTGCTTTGGGCCTTGTTTCTCGCAAGTTTAACCCCAAGGTGTACTCTGTTGCAGATCGCACACCACAAAACCAACAGGTTTTTTGGATATGCGCAGGTCTTCCTGAAGCCTGATGAGTTCGCCTGGATGGAGAGGTGGCTGGCCGTAAGACAGAAGCTGAAGCCGGAAGGGGACCTGGTGTTCTTTGGAGCTACGGCACAGCCTAATAAGAACCTGGTCCACTTTCTGCAGACGGCGTGGGAGGAGATGGGGCTCTCAGGGAAGCCCACCTTCACGGACCTCAGGACCGCCATAGCATCACATGTGAGTTGTTTACCAGCATTGACGGATCACTCTTTATGTCGCACTTTGTGTACAACAGCTCTTAAAGAACCCCAGCTAACAAGTTCTTTGCTGGACTAAAGACAAAAACACTCACTGCAATTTTCATATGTCTCTTCTTTGCTTCAGGCTAAGGAAAGGCACATACCCCAGGTCCGTGAATTAATATCTGCGGCCATGTGCCACGACGTTCGCACGGCGGACAAATTTTACACTGTCTTTTTGGACCCGGTGAAGTGCGCCGCCATGCGGGACATGTTTGAAGAGGCCACATCTACCCAGGGCTCTACCCGGGAGGCCCCGGCTCCTTTTGACATACCGTTCACATCACAAAGTGTTCCCGGAACTGTGGACACCTCCGGCCTCACTTCTCAGCTCCCTCCACGTAGGAAGGCCCAGCGGCGGGAGAAAACCCCGACAGAAACAGCGTCGGAAGGGCACGTCAGCTACCAGGAGAGTGGTAGCTCTGAGTCTGCGGAGGACGAAGAAGACGACAACCATCCTGGTGTAAGTTCATTCACACTCTGAACAGATGTGTGTTGTTGAGCGCTGTGACCCTCCCTCACAGCTTTATGATCATTGCGTTATGTGTTCTTTCTTCAGCAAAGCACACCTGTCCAAGGTGCACAGCCGGAGCCGATCGCCCCAGAGCTGACAGTCGAACCTTCTGAGGTGAGTTCTTTCAGTCGCCATTGCAGACCTGATCCTGGGTTCAGTTGCTTCTGGCTGTTAACCTTGAAGGCTGCTTTATGATGATGACTTTATCACTATTGTGTTCCACCGTAAGGCTTGACAACCAGAGGAGCCTGAGCCGTCCCTGGGGCCATCTGTAAGTACAATTGAGAAATGATTAATCTGTCACTGAGCTGTATTGTCATTTCTAAACTTGAATCTTTTCATGTATCTTTTGCATGATCGCACACAGCTAAGAACCAGACGAAGGCCCAAGTTAGTGTTAATTGTTAATTTCATATTTTTGATCATTTTCTGTTTTCCTATTTGGAAATAACTAATCAATGGCTTCTGTTTTCCTACACACAGCGGCGTCAGTATCCAGGGTGGTCCTGAGCCCGCTTAAAATTACAGCCAAGTAAAAGAAGGACCAGGCAAGGCGGATGCTCCGTTTTAAGTACAAGGTTTCTTTGTAGCTGTGTTTGACAATAATTTACATTTCATTTAGTTAGATTACAGCCTGTTGCACTTTTTTTTTTATCATGCTTATGCCATTGTCAGATTTTGTTTGGTTTGTTTTTTAGTACTTGTCTTTGCTAATAAAGCAGTGTTTGAAAACATTCGGTTTGGTTTTTCACACTCACTTACCAGTCATTTACTACACTTTGACCTTTTCCATTATAATGTAGGTTAAATGGCAAACGTTTGACATTTTCCCTACAAATGTAGGTAAAGTAGCAATTATTTGCCATTTGCTTAACAAATGCCAACAAAATGGCAGAAATTTGTCATTTTACATACAAATGTAAAGAAAATGACTGTCATTGTCCAAACAA